GCCGTACTGCAGTGGGACGCGCGTCCCCAAATGGATGCTGCCACACTTAGCGGACGAGGAAATCCGTCGCCTCCGCCCAGACATCATGTTCATCCCCGACCTCCCCGCGCACAGAACCAAGCGCAAACGGTACCAGGGGCCGGAGTGCAAATCCAAGCACGATGTATACATTGTTGAAGTGGGCTACACCAGTGACCTGCAGCACTCCGACAAACTCGAACAGAAAACCGCACAGCATGCACGGCTAACAGAGGAACTCACGAAAGCAGGCTGGACGGTGCACTACACCGAGGCGCAAATTGTCACCCTGGGAAGTACTGGGACACTAACCAACACACTAAAACCGCTACTGTGCAGACTCGGCTCGTCCGCTGAGCAGGCCCAGAAGACCTGCCTGCACCTCCACCGGCAAACAATCGAAGCAGCGGGCACGATTATCCGGGCGCGGCGAGTACTGGAGGGTACAGTCAAGTAACCGGTACAACCCGAACGGTTTCCCACGGTGGTGCGGGCATACAGGAGCGGCTACGCCGCCCCTCAGTTCCCCACCCCCTTAACACACGCCAGGCCCCGGCCGGCGTACTATTATTATTATTATTATTATTCAGTTAGCCACTGTGCCTGGCATGGCGAGGCGTGACTCTCAGTGTGACGAAGCGTGGCTCTCACTCAGTGGTGACGAGACTTGTGCTTGCGCCCGATGGCTATCATCGTACATGGCAAAAATAAGAAAAGTCATACCAAAAAGGTGTTATTTCCGTGGGTGACATATGTCACAATAGTTGTGCAGTTATGGTCGGGGCAGCGCAGAGTGCAGCAGCCGCGAGCGTCGTGCTGGAATCTCGTCATTCGCCCAACCCACCCATTACGCACCGCTTTTGCGAAGCGCTGCAATGGAGCAGAATAAACGCCCCTGCACAAGTAGATATGATCTGTTTCGCAGTCAGAAATGTTAATGCAAAGGTACTCCTGCAGCTGCCGGACTCCTGCCAGAATCCTGCAGCTGCCAGAGCCGACAGGCTCCAAAGCTGCCGTACCTCCCCAATCGTGGTAAGAGCGAGTCGGCAACGACTTAAGGCCTCCCTGGACTCAGCTTGGTCTGTGCAGCTTTAGCTACTGGTATCTGAACCTAAGGGACGTGCAGTGCAACGAAAAGAATTCCAAAGGGATCTTCAGCATCTCTGTTGTTTAGTCCGCGCTAACTGCGGTATGCAGTGCTCAGCTCGCTTTCTTCCAACACAGGCATCCAGTGGATGCGGAGATCGTTGGGCGAACAGAGCACCTGCGAGCAATGCCAACACTTCCACATCGCGAGAGATCTTAGCTCGATGGCTGGGTCCTGGAACCTAGCCAGTTTTTCCAACTTTTTCGACGAACTCCGGCTCGCCAACTTGGTTGCGTGAAAGACGCGACGGATGGCGTTTGCACTGACTGGCAATCGGAGAATCAGGGATTTTTAGTCAATAATCCCAGCACTGCAGCCCGCAATTGAGTCCTACAGTGATGGAAGCCTAGGGTGTGGTTACAACTACCTCCAACCACACGCTACCAAGTTGTTCAGCTGGAATGCTCGTTTCTGGTGCGCGCTGCGCACGCACACACTGAGTTTTAGCGCCCGCTCCACACAGGCGCAATTCATAATCCATTAGTGCACTGCCACAGGCCCGAGAGCGGAAAGGGCTCTAGCAGAAACAACAGGACCCGTCCCTCGTACGGCACTAATCCCCACACCCTGCCTGCCTGCGTCCATGACTGCAGTCCTACTTGCCGGCGACAGCGCTGTAAGGTCACCTACACCACCCCGGACACCAACTCGGCATAAGCGCCACCCGAGCACCAAACATAATTTTGTCGCACGGCCTCTTGTCACCCCCAACCCTGTCTGCGTCATCCTGTTCGCCCTCACGGCACTTGCGCGCTGGCCCGCAGTCACTACACGGCTGTTACAATCACACCCATAAAAACACGTCACCGTCAGGTCCGCCATCACAGCCCTCGGTACTGCCACCTGCTGCTGCAGTTGCAGCAGCATATGCCATTGCACCACGTGGCACGGCCCACCCCTTGCAAAACCTCCCCAGACTACGTCTTCCTCTGCAGTGCTCCACATCTCTTATCCAGGTATCGCCCCATACTCAGGACCTGTCGTCCATTAATGACACACATGCACACACACGCGCGGCCACACAAGCACGCATAGGAGGAAGGCGTAGCCGCACATGCCCCATGTTGACCTACCTAGCTGCACGCAGAAGCAATCCCGGCACACCTTCGCGACTGACCCTCCACCGTTCTGCTGCAGGCCCCAATGCCCTGCGGGCTTTGAGCTTCCGTATGCTGGAAGGTGCTTTGTGCTCCCATCCATGCATGGCCCGCCCAACTCAAGGTGCCTTGCAAGCAGCGCCCCTCCTGTAACCAGCGCTCCTCCCAAACATCGTACGGTACAGAACATGCAACTGCAATCCAGAGACACATCATTCTACACAGGCTGATTGCAGGCACAGGCCCCCTACATCCCTGCTTCGGGTCTAGTGGCCATCCTCACCCCCTGCCCGCTCGCTACACTACACAAGCTAGGACAGGGCATAGCAGAACAGCATGGTGCCACCAACATGGAGCATAATCCCAAGGCGACGTGCAGCATGCTGCGGATCATGCCTTCCCAGCCTACTCCACCTCCCTAGGCCTTAGGCCTCTGTTCCACACTCCTCCGCGATGCTGCAAATCCCTTTTGTCTAGTCGTTGTAGCTGAAGGCCGTCTGCGGCCTGGCCCCGGGCCCGCCCGGTGCCCCCGGCTGGCTGGAGGCGGTGAGGGCCTTCCAGATGCGGCACGTGTTGTCCTTAGAACCTAAGGTGCAGGTGAGAGGGGACGGCAAGTGTGAGGGGCAGGGCCACAGGAGCTAAGTGCCAGAGAATTGACGGCCCGCAGGTGATTGTGTAGAACGAAAACATGCCGCTTTCCGGCTCGTCTTCCGGGCCCAAGCCAGCGTGGCACCTTCCAGCAAAGGAGAAGGTATGTGCCGCGTCGGTGGCCCATATAATCCCCCGTCTCTGTCCTCCTCCCATCCTCGGCCCTTAACGCATAATGCCGGCTACCCGTCCCTCCTCGTCATCTCAATCCACTCCTACACGCCTCTTTAACCCCACCCTCCCCCTCCCACACCGCGGATAACGCGCCATGCGGCCGCAACCACGCACCCGTAATAATGAAATCACCCTCGTAGTTGAAAGCGCAGCTGAAGATTTCGTCCGTGTGGCCCTCCAGGACCTTCAATGACAGATATGGCAGGTATTTGCAAGCATCGCCGTGAGGTGGTGAAGCAAAAAACGAAACGCATCCAAGGAAACCGAGGGCATGCCGTTATGAAGGAGGGCGAGGCGATAAACACAAGGTCGGAACACGACGGCACGGATCACCCGCGCAACTAAGCGGGGCATCCAGCCTGCTTCCGCTCGTACCTACACCCTACACCCCGCTGCCTACCACACTAGACACTTTGAGGAATCAATGCGGCACCCGCTTCCACCATACAAATCTGAGGCCGCTAGCAGGTCTCCCGCCCATACCTGTAGGCATTCTCCCGAGTCACAGTCCCACAGCCTGCGGCAAGAGCGGAAGGAAAAGTAGCAGCAGGTGTCGGGTTAGGACGGATTGCACTGTCTCAACACGGACATGGTACACCACACAGCTGAAGTCAATGGCATCGTCACGCGCCTTATTACTTAAACCTCAGAATTACGACAAATCACAGTATCTCTGACTGCTTCTCCAAACTTATACTTAGGGTTCACGCATGCGGTGCATGCAAGCCGAATACGTTACGTTTTTGCTAAGCGGTTGCAAGCGAGAACTTGTAACAAGTGCAACTGGCTCGGTTAAAGGTTGGAGCAACACGTGTTGAATAAATGCCCTGTCCTGAGCTGGACTATTTGATGGAATTGGGCACCAGGAAGGAATGGAATGTTTGTTGCCATGCGTCAAGCCGCCCCGCCCTAGCTGAGATGCTCAACGTGGGCTGTTGCGCACGCCAAGGTTCCCCCACTCGCACCTGCAGGTCTTGTCCGACGATGCCGTGATCAGGCGTGTACCCTGTGGCCGACAATAAGACGATGAGGCCACACAGGAGGAGGGTCAAGCGTACGAGTGCAGCCTTGGCTTCATGCCCACATCACAGAAACGCCATCACGTCCTGTAAATTGTAGCGTTGCTTTTAACGGGATTTGACAGCCCACGTGCATGCCTAGTATGTCGCAAACGTTACGGGCCCCAGTCACATTCACAGGGCCGGCAAATCCCCCAACCCTGACCTGCCTCACTTTCCCCAGACCTTTTCCTAGGTGTACCTAGACCGAAAATACATTGGTGCACATCTGGGCCCCCCTTTCTGAAAACACCGTGACGGGAACTCCCCGCTCCCGGGCCACTGGCGTTCAGCGGTCATGCCAGGTCCCAGTCCCCACCTTTCCCATACCCCTCTCGGCTCACCTGCGGGTTAAAAGCCACCTTGCTGATCTCGCCCTCGTGCCCCACCAGTGTGTGATTGCACACCCCGGTCAGCGTGTGGTAGAGCCTGAAAGGGAGTTACAAGGCGAGAGCGGGCAGGGAGCCGACCAACAGCGGTCAGGAATAACGTGCTAGGTGATCTCTCGTACATTTGATGAGCCATCAAGCAGGTCCAAAAACCTTCAGATGGACCGAAGTTACCACACCAGCTATACCGTAGGAGGACACATGCAACACGCACAAGCAATCGCAGGGGTAGCTGCGGGGTAGAAAGCGGTTACCTGGCCGTCCCATCTGCCGACGCCGACACGAACTTTGTCCCCGCCGAGTCAAAGGCCACATCCAAAACCTCGTCGGTGTGGCCCTGCGAGAACAACAACATTTATGTGGCCCACAGAGCCGTCAAGACATGATGATGATACAAAAACAGTACAAGACCTTAACTGAAATCTTTCTGTCCCTTAAAAATCTCTTAGGTTTAGGCAGGTGAAGTTCACATCACCGTTGCCTCGTAAACCAATGGCCTTTGCTGTGAATAAAGCAAGCCGACGCATTTAGGCCTCTTTTTTTCAGCCGGTACGTCAGCAACGCGTGCCGCGCTGGTCCGGGGATGCACAAGGCGGCCATACAGCCCCACGTTTAACACACCCAGAACAACCCCACAGACATATGGGGCTTTAAACCTGGAGTAAAATGGACTGAGATATATGGGTGCACGTGCCAACCCCCAGTCAGTTTCGAAAACAACAGCGATAACCGTAATTAAACTACAACACAGACCCTTCGCCCCGACTGGGGACCCGACTTGGCATGTGACTTACCTGCTTTACCGAAAGGCACCGGCCGCTACGCACATCCCAGAGCCGAGAGGTGCAGTCGATGGATCCACTGACCACCAGCGTGCCTGCATGTGCCGACAGTCGTGCAGTGACGCGATAGGTTGTATACGATGGAAACTGCCTACTGGAAGGGAAAAAGCCCAACGGACTGGGGCCAAACCAACCATGGATGTAGATTTGGACGGAGATGCCGACGGCGGTGCGCACATACTGTTAACGACTTCGCAATAATAACAGCCTCGGCCTGAAGCTACGGATGTGGGCAACACCTTTATACCGACGCACATAGATGGCACCCCTGTCTCCGCAAACATGAGATCATTAGCCGCTATCCCATATTCAATCCTGGTAATGGAATGTGGGCGCTCCGCTTGCATGGCTACGATGGGCCAACGCCCTTCCGCTCCCTTCCTGCTCCACGTCTAATCGCCGTGCCATGTCTAACCCTGTGGCAGACCTCTACAAACCCAAGCACAAACCCTACCTGACATCTCTTACCTATCGCGGGTTGGCCACCCTTTCCCCCAATGCTCCCTCCTATCCTGCCCGCGGTCCTCCATGTGCAGTTCATACTAAGGGCTTGCATTCTGCATATACAGGTCCGGTCCCCCCTCACCCACCCGCATAGTTGAACTGCGTGCTCGAGACCTCCCCTCGGTGGCCGCTGAGCACGTGCACGCACTGCCCCGTGCGCACATCCCATAGACGCGAGTCATGGTCAAAGGAGCCCGTCACGATCAGGTCACCGCCCGTGTTGAAGCCCAGGCTCACAATCTCCGCTCTGTCCAGGAAATATTTCACGGCAGGATTACACAAAATTTCGCGCAATATACGTTGTGACTTTACGACAAAACATACACGATGAGGAGCAGAAGGAAGCGACAAGGACGACAGCGAGCGCCAGGCTGACTAGCGCGCGGGGATTTGTTTCAACACCTTGACATGAATACCTTGCAAGGTTTTACAAGTTGCTCGCTTGAGTGGCTTGCGGAGTTCCTTCCGCAATTTCCGCCGTCAACTCAACGCTCTTATTCAACAATCAGCAACCATCCAGCCATCGGTAAGTGCCTTTGGCGACACCCTTATGCAGCGCACCTCGTCCCCCACGTTTCCCGCTAAGTCCACAACACATTCCCCGTGCCGGCATTTCCCATCGTCCCAATACGCAACCCTGACGCCCCGCCATAACCTCCCCACCTGTGTCCCTGCAGCGTGGCCCGCTCCTGTCCCGTCTCCACATCCCACAGCTTCGCCGTGTTGTCCATAGAGCCCGTAGCGATTATGGTCGACTAGGGGACGACGTGACCAACGGGGAACAGAGGGCATGGCATCAGCAAGGTGCGGACAGACAGTGGGAGGGAAGAAGCGCCATGGCCCCGACAGCAGGTCACCCCGGGCCCCCAATGCACCGCACCACCGTACGACAAGTCCTAGGGGTCACAAACCACCATGCCTCCGGCTTCATTCCGAACCCATACCTGTGGATTAAATGATAAACACACGATCTCCGTCTGGTGACCTGGTAACAAAGAGATTGCCGAAAGCGAAAAGCGGAAGAAAGGTAGACACTTTGTGATTGACCAGCAAGCGGGGGAGTGGTAGGCGCAATCGGATGGGTGACTAGACCGACCAAATTTGCCGCAAAGCCTAGCATGACCGCGTTGGGAGCGCAGGGAGACGGGAAGGAAGCAAGAGGGGCGGGGCTTATACTCTAGTCATGGGTCCACGAAAGAAAGGACGCATGACGAGGGCCGGCGCTGACGCTGCATCACCGCGCGGGCGAGAAGTTTCTCGGGGATCGAAATGCGGTGTTGAAACGCACATAAAACTCTTTGAAATGGCAAACTTTGCACGAACGTGGCAGCTCTGTCATGCTACGCCCAACGCTTATGCGAGTGTACGTATGTCCCGGGGCTCGCGTGCATATAGAACCGCAATCAAGCCCGTTCCCTCAACACCTTTGAGGGTGTAGTACAGCTGCCCCGTGTACGCGTCCCAGAGTTTGCAGGTTTTGTCAAACGAGCCTGTCACAATCTTGTCACCGTACGGGTTGTTGAACGCGATGGCGTACACCTGTGGGAGACGTATCCACCACACAACCAAGGCCGCCGGAAGGGGGTGGCAGTCGCAAGAGGGTTCGTAACGCAAGGGTCACTCCAGTTTGCTGGGCTGCGCAGAGGGCTCCGGCAGGGGAGACCAGGACATGGAGAGTATTCCGCTTCAATAATCCCACAATTTCACTTGTAGAAGCTCCAATGTGTTCTGTTTCTGTGGCATTTCTTCGCCACTCACCACGTTCTTGTGCCCCTCCAGCGTGAAAATCTCCTCTCCTGTAAACGTGTTCCAAACCTGACAGGACCGAGGGTTGCGTGATGGGCATTGAGCGGGCGAGTATCAAAGGTCGAACCGCTAAAGTACTTGGGCACCAGGCTGAAGGGTGGTGGCGGTGGTGGGCACGCACGCGGAATGGCTATGCGCAACAGCACATTTACATGCCCAGGTTCTCATGTGCCGGGATTGATTGGTTTGCGGCGATAAGCAATCGTTCACTGTCACATGCTACCTGTTCATGAATTTCTTTTCATTCTTGCTATGAACCGCGGTCGCAAGACACCGGTCCAACAGGTAAACTAGATTCCCGAAGTACACAAGAAACAATAAAGAAACCACATAACAGAGAAACACATTCTCTAAGCGGCAAGCCTGGCCGCATAGCAAATCACTATCGTGCCCAGCTGTGTGGCATAGGGCAGGTGACGAAATGCAAGCAGGTCAAGGGCTTCCCTGCAGCCTCCGCTGCGGCAATCCAGCGAACAACAGTTGAGACGCATCCAAGCGGACCGTTTTATGGACCATAAAACAGGAAAATGAGAGCCCAGGGCAACCCCGCCCGCCCGAACCCCGCGCCCAGTAAGCACCTTGCATGTCCTGTCATACGACCCAGTAATGAAGCGATCGCCGCTCTTATTAAATGCGCAGTTGGTCAGAGGCAGGATGTGGGCGCGCAACACCTGAGGTCCGTAAAGGAGAGGTAGAAAGATTTGGTTTAAGTGGAACTCAATGCAAAGGGCGATTGAAAGCCTGGGTGACTGGGTGGGTTTGCTTGTAATGCACAGCGAAGGTGAAAGAAGAGCATGACTTGCTTCGACACGCAGATGCAGTTGGGTTGGTCGACGGTTGCCGGCGGGGCTACAGTTTACGGAATGGTTGGTGCGATGCATGCAGGCAGGCATGCAGGCTCGCTCCCGGGAGGTCAGGCCAACGTGCAACATGGACCGGCAGCACCCTCCCCATCTCGCAATTGTTGCGATATTTGCACGCTGTCCAAAGGACAGAAAGTATCACCATCACACCACACTGGTGCGCCTCCAAAGCCGTAGGCAATGCGCCGGCTGAGAGCCTCCAGAGAAAACCCACCACGGACAACATCGCCCACCCCTTGTACCCGAATCAATACCTGGCACCCTAACCCATGAGGCGAATGTCATAGTCGGCAGCGAGCTGCTAACACTACTATCCCGCAGCCGACATCCAGCCTTGTTACCCCGCAACAATGTTCCGGAGCAACAGGAGCGGGACCCTGTTGACCGCGTTGAGCGAAAGCCCACCACTGCGCAAACTCATACCCGGCCATGGCCGCGCCAGGGACTCCCTGCCTGAAAGCGTGGTATCATCCCTCCCATGTCTTGCATCTTCTCGTCATGGAAACTTCCCACTTGTAAGGGACCCACCTTGAACAACGTGAAGCTGTGGTGTTGCTGCTCCAGCATCTTATCGATTAATCTGTGTATGAGTTGCCGTAGCGCTGGTCGCCGGTTCTCACTGATAAGCGGCTCCTGACGGATTATTTGCGATAGCAACACCTGCAACCCAGCCAAAACCCGCGTCGCATAATTCACTTACAAGATGGGCACATTACTGAGTTCCATGGCCCGGTTACCAGACGAACACCGAGAGTCAACTGAGAGGCATGTTTCCATCGACACAAAGAACACATAGGCACCCCTTGCGCCTCCATACCTCGACATCCACATCTGGTGTAAGATCCAGCAGATCAATTGGCTTCTGCTTCATAGCGCCATCCCTTTCATACTGCAAGATGATTCCAGGCGGATAGTATCGAAGAAGGAACTTCTTCAACTTCGCTGCCATTTCTGCTTGCAGTGCTTTCGTAAAGCTGTCTAAATGTCTAACGCCTCAAAAGGCTGTTGCCAAAGAACTCGAAAGGCTCCGAACGGGGGCGGCGGTCCAAACTGAGTCTATGGCTGTGGGCCTGGCCCTCCTAACCTATGAAGGCCAGACCCAGCACGCTGGAGGTGTTGAGTTGGCGTCGGACGTTGTTATCGAGTTAACTTGAAGTCTCCTCGGGAACTATCTCAATAAGACTTAGTGCGCAATATTAAGATGGCATGGTGTGGTGTTATCATAAAGTCAATTACACTAATTTGTATTGAATGTAAATTCTGCAGTGGCTTTGACGATCCCGAGGGTGTCCGTGCATGGAGACCGATCAAGGTGCAGTAACAATACAAAACGCCCGTGCTGTAAATGTGTATGCATTAGTTCATTTAAGGAAAACTTTGTGAATACACAGCAATATTATAACCCGCGATGTGCTGAACGCTTAATTGAGCTATTACCATAAACACGGTACTGCTACATTAGCAGCAATGTTGAAAACAAGCCATCGGCAAGCTTCTGGATCATGCTTTCAGGCGCGCTCGGCGCCCCCGCCACGTCGGGCGTTGTGGTGGTCGTCGTCGGCGCAGCAGCAGCAGCGCGCTGTGCAGTGCAGCGCGGCGGAGATGCTCGTCGGCGTTGGTAGCTCAGTACCAGAGACCTATCTTACAAATCACGATTTGGAGAAGCTAGTTGAGACAAGCGACGATTGGATCGTGACTCGCACGGGTATTAAGAAGCGTCATGTACTCGGCAAGGGCGAGACGTTGGCCCAGCACGGCATCGCCTCAGCCAAGCGTGCTTTGGAGATGGCTGGCATTGCTGCCCAGGATGTGGACCTCGTCCTATTTGCAACCTCATCGCCGGATGACGTGTTCGGCAGCGCATGCCAGGTGGGGTCTTGTAACGCTCACGGCCGCTTGTTCGCACTCCCTCGTGCCAATCCTGACGGCGCCAACAGTCCAAACATCTATTACTGATTAAAGCTTTTCATCGTACTTACTTGGCAGCCCAGTTTGGTCAGGCCGCCGCTTTCATCGCGCAAGGTCGTTTACAGTGCAATAGGCTAATCACCAAAGAGTATTCTGCCTTGTTGGTTTGGATGGCCATTTGAAATGCCTTTATTTTTTAACTTGCAAGATAGGGGTTGATGGAGCTGCTTTCGGCGTGTGCGTTGCTCAGCGCTCAGCAATTGGCGCTGAATCAGCGGCGCACCTGGCGAAGGCTGCGACCCAAATCTCCCAGCTTGCCGGACACACATATCGGTCGGTTGCAGCACTGAAACGGCTCTGCGACCTGAAATCCCACACCACACACCAGCACCACCACCACCACGGTTCCGCACCCACACCCGACCCCTCTTCTGCATCGGCATCACTTGTCCCAGCCCTCATCCCCTGCGTGCCTGCCCCTCCACCAGTCCACCTCATCCACCTGAGCCACCCCTTCCCCAGGATTGGCCGCGCCTTCCCTTGCCTCCTGCCCTTGAGCCCTCCTCCGTCGTTCCATATCCCGCCCGCGACGCTGCACCGCTCATCTGAAGCCACCTGAAACCCGCCGTCCCGCCACCCAAAACAAATCTTGCACCCCGACCACACACCCTCAGGTTCAGGCGTCCATTGGCGCTCGGCATGCAGTTGCCTTTGACCTGACAGCGGCCTGCAGTGGCTTCGTGGTGGCGCTGGTGACCGCCGCCCAGTACATCCGGGCCGGAACCTTCCGGACGGTGCTTGTGGTGGGGGGAGATGCGCTCTCACGCTTCGTGGACTGGCGGGACCGAGGTGAGCGGGTGCCACGCTGAGTGCGTGGGCCGTGAACGAGCCGCCGTACAGGGTATTAGGAGCCGTAGCACTGGTGCAGGGGGCTGGAACTGGATGCGAGCCCATTTGGTGCCGTCGGGTGCATGATGTTTTTGAGCTGCTGAGAATGGGCAGCCGTAGCGGGTATTGGGGACCCGAACAATCCTGTGTAGAACACCGGGCTAGAAGGGGGAAAGGAGGTATGAAGCGCAGTCCGTCGTCATCGACCAGCCCCAGCGCAACCGGTTGGCTAGCTGACTTCGGGTTGCGAGGAGTTGAGGCATTTTGGGCGGTGCTAGCTGGGGCAGCAAATACGTGTTGGCCCATGCGGTTAGAGTGTCGGATGTGACCCAGCAGTACAGTACAAGTTCCGTACACACACTCGTGAGGGAGTGCCCGTAAGAGCCGGGGGGGGGAAGGTTAAGGACGGACAGCAGGGGGCGACTGCCCGTTAGGGTTAGTGCGGAGGTGACTGTGGTGGCCCCCGCACCAGCGGTGGCCCCACTGCGCTAGCTCGGAACGCTCGCCGCCGCCCAGCTACAGCCAGACCAGGTCAGGTCGTACCCCCAAACCCGACCAGGTCAGGTCGTACCCCCAAACCCGACCAGGTCAGGTCGTACCCCCAAACCCGACCAGGTCAGGTCGTACCCCCAAACCCGACCAGGTCAGGTCGTACCCCCAAACCCGACCAGGTCAGGTCGTACCCCCAAACCCGACCAGGTCAGCCTAAAACACACCGTGTCAGGAAGATGGGAAAGAACGTAAAACGTAACGGAGTAAGAGGAATCCGGGGGCATGGTCGTGGCAGCCGCTGCGGCTCCACTTGCCGCTGTGGGCGGCCGCAACCCCGGCACCACAGGTTTGCGCATTACGGTTTTGTGGTGCGAACGGTCGGCAGGTGGGGAAGAAGTATGGGGCGGAAGGGGGACACTCCGGAAGAGAAAGTGATTGGTAAAGAGCTCCCGCGAGTTGTTCCGACGACGACACCACAGCTTCGGGCGGGTTGGCGGATTTGGCGGCTGTCGCATACGCGGCGATACTTCAGCGGCCACAGTACTGCTGGATGGACAAACTGGCAGCGGCGGCGGCAAAAAGCCTTCAGCAGTAGTATCTGCAGCGTAGCAGTCGCAGCATCAGAGATAGCGGCATTAGCCACTGGGTGCCTGCTCGCGATGTGATGGTTGATGCAGGCACGTAATGGACATTGACCAATATATGAGGACATCATGCTGCCTCTCGCATTTGTTAATACTACATACACAGCATGTAAACCTCGGTAAAGTTATTCAACGGGTATGGTGTGCTTCTTGCGGCCTCAGTTCATTATTACGACACGGCACGTAAACACACATGACGCAGAAATGGGACAAAGCAGGGTTTGAAACCCTAAGACCTGCAACGCCATAGTACAGGCATGGGACGCTCACCTGTGCTCGGTCGGTGTGCTCTAGGTCAGCCTACCGATCTTTCAGGCAGCTTAGCAGGCGCGCGTGTAAGCCAAAGCTTGCAGGCCAGGACCGAGAGTGGGCTGTGCAGGTGGTATTCGCGATCCTTGTACGGACCCGTCATCCGGAGCTGTTACTACGGACTCTTCCGCCCTGGGAACGAATCTTGTGCGTCTGTGTTCGCGGTCCTTTTCTTACGTGCGTCCGTCACCCCTTCATGCCGGCTCTGTTCTTCTCCCCTTCGCGCCGCTCCTCCATGCCGCTGGCCGCTTCAGGGACGTGTATTCTGTTCGGGGACGGGTGCGGAGCGGTGGTTGTGACTGCCAACCCCGACCCGGAAGCTCCTGGGGCCATTCTGGGCATGGAGATGGGTAGTGACGGGGGTGGACACAAGCACCTTCATTGCACATTCGCAGGTAGGCAGGAGGGGAGCTGCGGGGAACACTGGGTGCCGGGAGAATAAGCGGCGTTAGGATAGTCGTATTGCACACGGGATGGTGGTGGTGATGGGGATGGTGGTGTATGGGATCTGGGAATTTAAGAGGGGGCGTATGATAGTGGTGGGTTTGCCCCGCTGGGTGGTTATGGCATTGGGGGGATTTGGCGCTGACGGAGAGCTGGCAGGTAGTGGACTCGTGGTGTGGCGGAGGCGGGTCGGCGTGTGCTTGGGGCTGGGAGGGTGGGGGTAGCGCCGGGGTTCTCATGGCTTTGACCTTGTGCCCCTCGGCGCGCCATCCGTCCCGCCCGCAGCACATTCCCGCCATGGAATTTATCTTTTCCCTCCGTCCCCTCCCCCCTCCGTCCCTTCCCCCATGTCCTTAGGAAGCGGCATGAAGCCCCTGTCCGATGGAGCCGACCCCTCCTCGCACGCCGCTTACAGCAATATCTACATGGCCGGACAGGACGTGTTCAAATTCGCCGTACGGACCGTACCGGCGGTAGGTGTACTGCATTCCTGGTGGCCAGTTTTAAACCCTAAAACCCTATGATTCCATTCCCCCCTCCTCTGGTCGCCGCCTTTAAGAACGCCTTTTGGTCAGTTCTACTTCTGGTACACTCTTGCCCTGGCAGCAGCTTCACTCGTTCGTGGTTCGTCCTCCCCCCCCACTCTGCCTAAATTTCCCCCCGCCTTCGTTTTCCTCCCTCATCGCCAGGTCATTGACGGCGCGCTAGCAAAGGCCAACCTGCCAAAGGCAAGTGTCGCGACGGAGGCAAACTCGCCCGTGTGTGACGCGGGGAGTTGTCAGGGGGCGAACGTCCAGCCTACTCCGGGCCGTTCTCGTTTTCATGTTGTTTTTAGTGCGGGGAGTTCGGGTCCCCTGGGGTTGCGTCACCACCTGCGTTGCCCCTCCTCCTCCTCCTCCCACCCCCGCTCCGCCCCCTGATGCTGATGCCATCTTCACCACGCAACGATTTCTGTCAGCGCCCCCGTCACTTCATCCCTCCCCCCTCCCGCCGGCTGCTTCAGATGTCAGTTGTAAAGGGCCCTTTGCTCCTTGCGTAAGACTTCTTCCCCCCCCAGCTGCACATGCATTGCCTCCCCCTCGCCCCCTCTGCTCTCCCAACCTCCCAACCACAACCACAATCCTCTTCCTCCCATTCAAACACACACACAGGAATCTGTGGACTGGTTGGTGATGCATCAGGCAAATCAGCGCATCCTGGACGCGGCCGCACAGGTGGGTCGGACGGTGGTGGCGCCCTCCTGCTTTTCCCGGTTGGTTGGATTCCAATTTGGGAGGTCCGATGGGGAACCTCCCAATGGGGGAGGTTATGGTGAGGGATTGCTGGGTGGTGAGCGGAAATCACGTGCGGGGCTGCAAGGCGGTTGCTGACGGGGGGGAAAGGCATGAATCAGCGCATGAATGCAAGTAACACAACTCGCGCGGTATCGATGTTCCCCCACTCCCTCATTCCCACCTGCCCAACCGCTCCTGGTTCATGTCACCCCCGAACCCCGGGCTCGGGCACACAAGGGAATGTTTTACCGACCCCCTCTCCCTTCTGTTGCCGCCTGGCGGCCCGCTGGGCGCCACCACTCGGGCCCCTGCAGTTGCCCGAATGCGTTTTCATCTATCCCCCCCTCCTGAGTTCTACGTCTGGTACACTCTTGCCCTGGCAGCACCTTCACTCGTTCGTGGTTCGTCTTTCCCCCACCGACCCCCTCCTACTGTTCCCTCTCATCACTAATACATATCCACGCGTGGTAATGCACACATACATACACATAGCGCCTGGGTTTGCCGGCGGAGCGCGTCGTGTCAAACCTGTCCCAGTACGGCAACACCTCCGCCGCGTCCATTCCCCTGGCACTGGATGAGGCCGTACGGGGCGGCCGAATTCAAAAGGGAGATAAGGCGAGTTCAGAATGGGGGATCGGTCAAGGAAAGGTGGTGGTGGGTGCGGCGGGGTGGGGTGGGGTGATTAGGGTGGAGGGGTAGGGATAGGGGCGGCTGATCATAGGACGGAGGACCATTTGCACCAGGTGGAAAAAGGGGGGATTAAGCCGCCGCCGCCGCCGACTAAGGCCGGGCCACAGGGCTGGCTAACCCCCCCCTCGCGCGCCTCTGTGTGTGTTTTTCGTGTGTGTGTGTGTGTGTGTGTTTCGTGTGTGTGTGTGTCAAAAGAGGAGGGGTATTTCCCTCGTTTTTATTTCCGCATTTATTTCCGCCTGTGCTGCCTCCTGGTTCTCTGCACCATGTGCCTGCCTGACCTCCACCGACGTCGTCCCCCGGCTGCCGATCACATCTCCTCTCCTCATCTCTCTCTTTGCCGGATCTGTCTGGTTGCTACTCGGTTTTGCTGTGTTGCTCGCTCTGTGACAGATCGCGATGGCTGGTTTCGGAGCGGGTCTCACTTGGGCTGGAGCCATCGTACGGTGGGGCTGATGAGATGAGATGAAAAGAGCCACAGGGGGGAGCGACACATCGGCACCTTAGCGAGTACAAGGGAGGTCTGGTTTCGGAACGGACCGACGGAACGATCTGCAAATCAATTTAAGAGATGGGGAAGAGAGTTAGTCTTGTTTGTTAGTCCTTGGGTGCGGGGTTGGAGGAGGAGGGAGAGGAGGAGAAATCGTTTTGTCTGCAAGAGGAAAGAGGAGAGAGCAAGTGAAGAGAGGAAAGGAGAAGAGAGCCCTGGAGGAAGAAGATCTGGCGACCTCCTCTTGTTGTTGTTGCGAAGCGAGCTCTGGTGTAATTGGAGCAGCCGAGTGAGTGTGCCTGTTGAACGAGTGACTGCTCGCGATGGAGAAAATTGCTGGCTGGCGTGCTCAGGAAGGCGCCGCCGCTGCTGCTGTTGCGGCTGCTGTTACGTTGAAGCAGTAAAGATCCGCAGCACTGGCATCGCATAACTGTGGCCGCCGCCGCCACCGCCGCCGCCTTAGAGCCAATCAGCTCTACTAGCAGAACAGCAGCCGCAGCAGCAGCAGCCGCAGCAGAGGGCATTCAGTAATGGGGGGCAGGGGGGGAACATCGGCGGTGTATGTGTGGCTGGTGGTGAGGGTGCTAGCATTGTATCTGTTAAAGTGAACAGGTCTGTCTTCTTCTCTTTCCGTCGGGGTGTAAGATTGTGCGGGCTGTGCGGCGGCGCAGTAGTGCCGTGTCCGGGGCTTCAAGCCGCTGTACGGTAGCTTCCACGGACGTCCTCGATTCGGGCTCTGTCTCGGTTGTCGCGCGCATGCACACCTGTGTGTGTGTATGTGCGTGTATCTGTGTGTACCTGTGCATTTGTATGTGTGTGTATGTATGTGTGTGTCATTCGGAAGGGACTTCCCCCTGCGAGCCCATCCCACGTGCCCCCCTCGCGCCCGTCCCTGTTGTGCGGCTGCCGTGCCGGTGCGAACCCTTAGCCCTGCATCCATAGCGCCGTTGTGCGGCTGCCGTGCCGGTTGGTTTGCCGTCGTACCAGGTATCGTCCAGGAATCATTTCAATCCCCTCACCCTACGGGGTCTGGTTTCCGTGCTGTCGTACTGTCAGGGGTCCGGACTAGATGGACAGCTACCGGTGGGCTGCCGCACCGCCACATGTTGCATGGTTGGGTCCGTGTCCGATGTGTTTGGGGAGTTGAGGTGCGTGCGTGCAAGAGGAGAATGCACGAAGAAATTGATCGGACCCCGTGGTCAAGAAGGGGGGGAATGGAGGTGTGGTAAGAGGAAGCAGGACAGGACAGGTGAGAGGCCTGCCTGCCTATCTGCTTAACCGCCCCTCAGCAAGGCCACATGTATGCTTGGGCTGGCCATGGCGGTGTGCATTGTCCTCGGCTTAAGCTCATGCTTTGCTGAGTCCTAGCTCCGGTCGGTGTAGAGGTGTAGCGGAAGAAAGTTGGGGCACCGCCGCGTCCGATGTACGCTGAGCACTCGGGAGGGGAAAGCCTTTGAAGATATTTAGAGCTCGTCCCGGGAAGAAGGATATGTCACAGCGCGCTTGCTGGCGTCCAAGCCGCCTGCCATGGGCATTTCGTGTGGGAGCCCGTTTTTGAACGGATTGGATAAAAAATACGACATGTAGGTGTTAGCTATGTTGTGTGGTTTCCTTTGCGGCGAGGTGGTGGGGGATAGGTGCCACCAGTGGCGGTGGCGGTGCATGGGGCCGGGGGTTTAAGGTTCATTTCATAACGCCTGACTGTGCTGAGCCGTGTTTACATGCGAGACCCTATTTGCTCGTTGGGGGAGGTGCTCTCCGTGTCGCACCGCCTCCTGGAGCAACGTCGCAGCAGTGGGCGTGGAGGAGAGTGTGTGGCCTTGCTGGCCAGACCTGGATTGGAGGTGCACTCACTGCTTACTTGCCTTCAGGTCACGGCTTGTGGATAGTCACACGCGCACGCATGCACGCACGGCCGTTCGCTCCAGCCGCGACGGGTGTTCAAACTCTAGGGGGAGGTTATGGTGGTCCGGGAACAGGTGCGTTGCCTTGCTCGTTAGGGTTGTCACAAGTACTTGGTGTCCGGGGCAGAACTAAAGTGCTGAGGAGAGAATGAAGAATGGCAGCTAGTTTATAGGCGGTAACGGCGCTGGTGGAAAGAACGGAGATGACGCCCTAAGAGCCAAGCCGCATTGCCGCTTAAATGCACAAACCGGTGGTGCACCTCCGCCGGATGCGCGCTGGGTTTCGGCGTTCGTAAATTTTCTGGCACGTACTGTTTTGTTTTTCTACTTTGGAATGAGCAAAATGAGGCGCACCAGCTAGGTTGCTTATACTTTTGTAACCCGTAGTATCCTCCCCAGTCAAATGCACCACGTGTTCGCTAGGCGAAATGCTGTCGTAGGAATGCGGAGGAATGTCAGAGCTGGCGTAATTCGGGTAGAGGACCCGCAGTGTCAAGCAATGGTTTGGTTCGCACTCCATGGGTTTTGGAGTACTGCTGAGGGTGTATGGCACTCCATGGGTTTTGGAGTACTGCTGAGGGTGTATGGCACCAGAACCACCTACAGTAATGATGCCGACAGTAATGATGCCGACGGCGGAAATGACACCATGGGCAGGCAGCATGCTGCGGTGTTAACCAGCGTAAGAAAATAGGTTGCCAAAGCACCGTTTCGGAAATACACCGGTGCCCGAGTCGTTTCCGGTATCTGTCGGGAAGGACGTTGCGACCCGGCCCTTGGTATCGACGCAACCACTGGACTATTGCAGAGTTATACAGAAGTAGCATGGGCTCGTTCACAGAGAGTAAACACGTGCCTATGCCCTTGAGTTCTTGTGTGCGCATGCATTGATTCGGGGATCCCAGATGGAAGAGGAGCGGCCCCATTTATGCGGAAAAGAGATTTACGCCAGGTTAACCTAACATAATTCTTTTCACTGAGTTCGAGTTCTATCTCGACAATATCCCGCAATGGAAGCATTTGGACAACTTTAGGCGGTGGCACGAGAATTGTGCGATAATTGATACGCGTTGCGCCCTGACTAGGAAGATTTCGACTGGAAACAAGACAACTTTAAGCCGGGTCCTCTACATTATTTGCGGGAAATGAATGCGTGCAAAAGGTCGCGTTGGTGTATTAGCGCCTCGGTTCAAATCACCGAAAGATCAAATTGATAGCAAACCAGGACAATGAGCATAGCTTTCTAATTAAGAACCTGATCGTCCACTAAGACATATCCTGACGGGGTGGAGAAGCTGTTGGCGAGGATAAGCATGCCTGACTACATGAGCAGCAGAGAGGCTGAAGAAGAGAGATGCACTGTATATCGTGCATTAATTCGAGGTGATAGGAATGTGCGTACGGGTCGTTCATTCTTAGAACCTCCGGCAAGCTGAGGCCCCCTGGAGCGCCAAATAGTTCAAATGCGCAAAGCGCCCTTCAGTATTCAGTCTGCCTTTGTAACTTTTACCCACAGTATCTTAAACTTCTAGTTGGGACGCAGGTCATTACGCCTCGCGCAACCCAACGGTAGGACCCCTTCCGTTTCCGTCTAAAATCAACCATGCGTGAGGTCATTTCCATCCACATCGGCCAGGCCGGTATCCAGGTAAGAATACAGTTTCTCGTGCTTTTCTTCATGAAAATGAGCGCGCGATAATATCGCCCCGCGGCCCAGCGCTCCTGGCCTTACCATGAATATCTTCTCCTCTCCCTCTTATCTTCACATTTAGGTTGGCAATGCCTGCTGGGAGCTCTATTGCCTTGAGCACGGCATTCAGCCTGACGGCCAGATGCCATCGGACAAGACCATCGGTGGTGGAGACGACGCCTTCAACACCTTCTTCTCCGAGACTGGCGCCGGCAAGCACGTGCCGCGCTGCATTTTCCTGGACCTGGAGCCCACTGTCGTGGACGAGGTCCGCACCGGCACTTACCGCCAGCTGTTCCACCCTGGTAGGGAAGTAGGAATGGTACTTGTTAGTTCTGCAATATAAAATGTAGACATGAGACGTTCGGTAAAAACAGCAGTGCTTTGTTTATCGCTTAGAAGTTTGCGCTAGTGCGTTTCTATGCCTTAATGTGCCTGGTAATCTTCCTGGACAGAATTTAAAATTTGCGTCTTCTAACTCTTATCGATTGTCTGGCTTGCGCTTTACAGAGCAGCTGATCTCCGGCAAGGAGGATGCCGCCAACAACTTCGCCCGCGGCCACTACACAATCGGCAAGGAGATTGTTGACCTGGCCCTGGACCGCATCCGCAAGCTGGCCGACAACTGCACCGGTCTGCAGGGTTTCTTGGTCTTCAACGCCGTTGGTGGCGGCACTGGCTCCGGCTTGGGTTCCCTGCTGCTGGAGCGTCTGTCGGTTGACTACGGCAAGAAGTCCAAGCTGGGCTTCACTGTTTACCCGTCTCCTCAGGTGTCGACGGCTGTCGTCGAGCCATACAACTCGGTCCTGTCCACCCACTCCCTTCTGGAGCACACCGATGTTGCTGTCATGCTCGATAACGAGGCCATCTACGGTACGAAGATGCTGCTTTTGATGTCGTTATAGCTTAGGCACTGTGTCAGTGAATCAGTAGGTACTTCACATATTATTGCTCAGGCAGTTCCTAACCTACTGTTCTTTACTATGCAGATATCTGCCGCCGCAGCCTGGACATCGAGCGCCCGACCTACACCAACCTCAACCGCCTGATTGCCCAGGTTATCAGCTCCCTGACTGCTTCCCTGCGCTTCGATGGTGCTCTTAACGTCGATGTGACTGAGTTCCAGACCAACCTGGTGCCGTACCCCCGCATCCACTTCATGCTCAGCTCCTATGCCCCCATCATCTCGGCTGAGAAGGCCTACCACGAGCAGCTGTCCGTCGCCGAGATTACCAACGCTGCCTTCGAGCCCGCTTCGATGATGGTGAAGTGCGATCCACGTCACGGCAAGTACATGGCTTGCTGCCTGATGTACCGTGGCGATGTCGTGCCGAAGGACGTCAACGCCGCTGTGGCCACTATCAAGACCAAGCGTACCATTCAGTTCGTCGACTGGTGCCCCACCGGCTTCAAGTGCGGTATTAACTACCAGCCGCCGACCGTGGTGCCTGGTGGTGACTTGGCCAAGGTGCAGCGCGCTGTCTGCATGATCTCGAACAGCACTGCCATTGGCGAGATCTTCAGCCGTCTTGACCACAAGTTCGATCTGATGTATGCTAAGCGTGCGTTCGTGCACTGGTATGTCGGTGAGGGCATGGAGGAGGGCGAGTTCTCCGAGGCGCGTGAGGATCTGGCAGCTCTGGAGAAGGACTTCGAGGAGGTCGGCGCTGAGTCCGCTGAGGGCGCTGGCGAGGGCGAGGGCGAGGAGTACTAGACGGATAGAAGCGGTCTTTTGACTCCGTGCATTTGTCCTCCTGCAATGTGAAACTGCATTATTGTGTAACCATTGACGGAAGTATTTGTTACGCTGTGTCCATGCGACCGCACATAAACAAGCACTGGTGGTTTGCGTCAGCATGGTTGGAGGGAAGGAACCATGTTCAAAATAAGCTCAGCTTGTCTTCACATAAGCATATATGAATATGGATGTGTTATACGAATGCAGCAAACTTGAAAATTGATCTTCAGCGCGTCAAGGACCAAAACCGAACATAAACACAAACAAACACTTGTCACTGGCGTGAGCGTGAATCATCAGAGAACTTCATGTACAATGAATGTCTCGTAGTCTTGCGATGCAATCTAAGATAGCGTACCCATTCGCAAGAATACAGCTTGATTTGTGTTTGTGCAATACGAATGCTCGAGGTGTGGTAATTTGGGCCTATTTATTGCCTCCAAATGCAACCCCAAGTGCTCCACAGGTCTTTCGCTTTAATTTCATTTACCATAGGGAAGCCTCTCAGTCTGCCGTACATCGCCAGCATCGCTATCCTAGCCATCTCGAAGGAGCAATCAGTGGCAATAATCGCAGCTCCGCCACTGCTTTCAATAGCATGACGCATGGCGACATGGATCCTCACTCGGCATGCCATGATGCCTGGCGCATGGATCCTCACTAGCTACTGAGTCGTTCAGTGGTCCCTTGAGTTCCCTTGCTATTGTACTCTATGCTCTTTCATTACGTGGCCACTATGTGCAAGATGCTAAAAGCCATTATAACATGCGTCCGAGATCAAAGAAGCGTGTACGGCTGCGCCGTGTGGGGCCAGGAAGGGTTGCAAAAAGCTGTAATACATAGTTGCAAAGCAACTTGATTTAGGCTCCAATCACCTAGGTTAACCTAAAGACTATAGCCGGGGTTCATTAAGGTGGTGTGCTCTGGCAAATTCAGGTGAGAACATCCATATCACAAACGTGTCCCGTAGTTCGGTCGTTGACTGTCGATTCTGGCGGATAACAGGGAGAGGCATCCTTATTGGGATTGCCCTCGGCCTTTAAGTTGGTTGCTCTGCATCAAATTCCAGTCTTAGCTTCGAAAGGTTACGGGCCGCAAGGTTCTACAGGTTCCAGCTGACCTCAGTCACCCGGTCCGGAACTCTTCTCCTGGCCCGCTTGCTCTTAGCAACGGCTGCTGTGACACGAGGGGCTAGCATTGCTGCAGATCTCGGAATGCATGTCATGGCATTCCAAATGCTTGTGCGGCTTTCGCCCGTGGTCCTTGTTTTGTGCCAACCCCCGTGTGGCAGGCCCCGCTCCGCGTGTAAATAGCGTGCTTCATCCCGAAAGTTTACGGGGCGGATGATTTCCTGTACTTGCCGGCTTGCTTATTGGCGTACGGCCACGTCTAAAAGTATGCACGTGCTTCATGCGTACGGGAGTTCGGCTTGCCTCCTGATATGTACGGCGTGCCTTGTCACCGCTTCCCACAGGAAGCGCGTCACCAGGGCATCTGTAAAATGGTTAGTTTATGAATTATGCCGATGTTTCGAAGCGGTGCGGAGCTGAGTTGCTGGTCAGCATCCCTTTTGTATGCAACCTCTTTGAACATCGCCGTATTGCAAGATGCAAGCATCTGCCAATCTCCCAAGCAGACTGGGTTTGTAAATGCGCTGTCGCACTTCTGTGAAAGAATGGCATTTGTACGGTATTGCATTGAATCCGACAGCTGTACCTTGCGTGGACTGGCAGCGCCGCAGAACGCTCGCTATGAACAACTGCGACATACTGTTATGTATGAAAAAAATAATGGAAGACATGGGCACCTTTCAGACCTATGCATTCTTGGTTTCTTCCTCACCTTTCAGTGTCTGCGCCGTATAAGTGTAACCGAACGGGCGGACCATGTATAGGTCTGCTTTCTTCAATAAGTCAGCGCCGCAGGTACTAGGAGCTACACCTGCGGCACCTGTTGTTAGCGATTCTATAGTCGCACAGGCACCGTTTACTGTTTTCACAAACCAAACATCAGGTAGAACGCTGAAATTTCCATCTAGCAGGAAATTTCTCTGGGACAGAACACCGCTGGGCCGTGCTGAGGTCGTCGAGTTAAAGGTATGAGGACCGCGCACCTTGGGTCCTTGAACAGGTTACTATGGGAAACACCAATATTTTCTATGCAGGACAATTTACCGGTCATCAGCGTTACAAGCGATCTGCATCTGCGCCTTGGACCGGGCAGGGTCACCGTTGCAAATGTATCTTGCACCAATGGGAGTCGAGTGCATATTAGCCTCCAAATTGCAGCGCCCACGCACCAACGTGAGACCCGAGCGGTGCTTGTGTCAACGTGTCGCAGTAACTTTGCAAATCGCACATGTCTTCAACTCATCTGTCTTACGCCACTGCTTTGCAGCTGCCCCTGGCTCACTGGCGGTGCCGCTTACCACTTCCACCAGTGGTCTCAGCCCCGACCAGTTGGGCATCCTTCTCCAGAATCTGCAGCACAGCCTGGACCAGCGCGGTGCTTCTCGCCTTACCATTGGCTTTGCGCTGGCCCTGGCCTTGCAAACAAGTGGCTCCATCGAACCTACGGGGAACACGTCCAGGGGCAGCTGTCCTTCAACAACCCTGATTGCTAAGCTGCTGCTTCCGGCGGTGACTTTGTGCCTGACGCCATTGTACGCGAAGCGGTTGTGCGATGTCCCTTTGGCACAAAACCTATCTCACCATCAGGGTCCTGAGGCAGGCGTGCAGGTGGGCCTCCCCCGCTGACAGTTTCAGCAGTAGATGATCGCTTTATTTTTACAGCACCATGCATGTCAAGGCTCGGCACTGGGCAATGAGGCGTGTCCGCCGACAGCTCGTACAATCCCGCTTTTGCATTGCAAGCTGTAATCGGCAACCTGGCAAGGGCCGCTGGGCCACAGGGCAAACCTGCTGAGGGACGAAATCCTTGCTTCAATGATCTGCTTAAGTCAGTCTACGGCATGCCTTTTAATCACCTGCGCAGAATGGCTTCTTGACCATGGACCAGGCCAGGAGCCTGCTTCCGCTTGCGGAGGATGACGCAAACGTGTGTGGGGTTGGGCTGGGCCCTTCATGGAGTCTCGGTTTTTTCGGGCAGGAAAAAAGTTTGTTCAGTTTTGTTCAGCTGACGTGGGCTCGGACATGCAAGCCTGAGGTATCACGGGTCTCGCTGAGCCTTGGCGCATTGGGAACACATCGCATCCGCTTGCAGTTGCCAGGCTGCTATCGCTGCGCGCTACCTTGAGCCTGCATGTACGTGTCACACATGCTGTAGCCAACTGCCACCGCACATGCGTCGAACAATGGCGAGCTTCAGCGCTGCCTTTGCAACAGAGCCCTTTCATAGACCTTCCATGCTATCGTGACACGATTGAGTCTCCACCAATCGCCACCTGCTGCCTGCGTCCTTTGCAGGTGTACAGTGTGCCCTTGGTTGGCGTGTGGGTGCGTGGCGTCCGTGGGACTGATCACCCGGCCGTGTACACAGCCGCGCTCCAGTTTGCGTATGGCTCCACGCTACCGGATCGCGCCGTGCAGTCAGACGGTGCCTTCCTGCTGCTTATTTTTACCGGTGGTGGGTGCTACTCAGGGGGGGGTCGGCAGGTGGTTGGCGGAGCGGCTGTCGTCACAGGGAACCGCATGGTGCGCGGTTCTTTGTTGTGTAGCGATTCTTGGCCGGGTTGTCCTAGTGCGGCCAACCGTCTACTTCTTTTTATTGCAAGTAGACACTGCGGTAGCGTGCATCTGCAGTGCATCCACGAGGGATGCGAAATTGGCGCGGAGGCTTGAAAGGAGTAGCCCGCTTGTGCGGCTTTGGAACGGCCGGGCAATAAGAGCTGTTCCCTTAATTGCTGATTATTTTTCGCGTTCCTTGCATTGCCGCTGTCCACAGAGAGTCCGGTTGCGCGCTGTTATGAAGCGCGCTTCACAGACCCGTCTGCTCAGCCGCAGCTTCAGGCGCACGGCCGGGAGACCAGGAGTGAATGTTTTAGCCCCGCCGGCGGTCCAAACTCTACCGGTGGGGCCGCAGCTAATGGCAGTGGCTGCAGCGGCTTTGGTGGCAGCGGCCTCAGAGTTCTCCCGTACTTGGTGAAAGCTGAATTGACAGGGCAAAGCGCCGCGCCTTTGGAGCTCAGACCGGTGCTGGACACAGTGACGGCAGCGGCGGCGGGCCCACGCCTAACACTCCCGCACGGCCGCGGGCCCGCGGGCCAGACGCAGCAACCGTCAGGGCAAGCACGTGGAAGCGTATCCACTCTGGAAGCAGCGGGGACGCCACGCGCTGGCTTGGACGGCACACCATCCGGCTGCAGGCCGGTTTCAGCACCTGTGCCGGGGTCCGCCAGTCGATATGATGCCTTCAGCATATTTCAGTTGAGGGGCAGTGGAAGCAAATTAATGACTAGTCCCAGCAAGGCCATGAAGATTTTGACGGGAGAGGGTGAGGCAGCATACGGCGAAGCTGGAGCCGTTGGCTGCGGTATGAGAGGTGGCGAGAAGTGGGGCCTGGGGAATGCTACCGGGGTAAGGATGCCAGTGGCAGCGCCCGCGCACGGCTTGAACGGTGGCGTGCGATACGGCGCCCGCGGACCGGCTGCACCTCCAGTCTGTGACGCGCCTGGATTAGGACTTGCCCCGGGCGCGGGGACTCTGCGGGACTCGCCTCCGGTACCCCGGAGCTCGGCAGCGCCCACACCGTTTAGGTATGAAGGTAACCCTAGGATCCAGGCCTGCACTGGAGCACCTTCATGGTTAACTGAGCCATTGTTGTTTCTGTCCTGGTGTCCTCATGCAAGGCGGTGCACGCATGGCATAAAGTGAGAGGGGGCGCCCTTCATGCTTGGTTTGTCCGCAGGCCTTCAGTGCCGACAGCTGACGACTGGCATGAAACTGGCTGCCTGCTGTCTGCCTGCGTCGGCACTCCATTACCTGCGTTCTGCATTTGACACGGCTGTTGCTCAAACGCCAGATGGCGCTGCACTGTTTAGCTGCCTCGTGCGCGCGGCTTCCTCACCACATAATTCGTTGCGTTGCTGTAACTCAGGACGGCCCCGGGCCCTACTGTCGAATCCGGGCGATCATCTGGGGTTGTCCGCCTCATAGCAGCTTCCGTGAAAGGCGGCGGCGGCAGCAGCTCTGAAGGAGGCGATATGCTGGGTCTGCCAAGGGACCCCAGGTGGGTGTGGGGCTGGGGGAGACAGCCGCTGCTGCGGACTGGTTCAGACTGGTGTGTCATAAGAGTCTTCTGCGGTATATTTCTGGCAGATTGAAGTCTCCCAACCCTGGCTTGAGCCATGCAGACAGTTGCAGAAATAGCAGTCATAGCACAGTGAGTACCAGATTGGAAGACCCGCTGATGCCCTTTACGCTGTACCTGTGAAGCTGCCTTTGAATGTCAGCGCATGCGTGTCGACTATGACCTGGATTTATTGGAGACATACCCAAATTGATTGTAAAAGATGCGTGTGTTTGAGTATACTGCAGAGGGCACTTCACCTCCTTACCGCCACGACTGATTTCCTAGCGTGCAGGCTGCAGTATCGCGCGGCCGCTGTGGAGGCACCTGGAGAGCGCTCCGCTGCCGCAGTCAGCCGCAGAGCGTTCGAGGGAAGCACTTGGACGCCCTCCTCGAGAGTCCCAGCACCCTCATCAGTTCCTCTAGCAGCAGGGGGAAGTTTACCGGTGTTGCCAGCGGTGCGGGTTTCTGCTGCTGGCGTGACCAGCGGGGCGTCCTCACTGTCACGGACCGGCTCCACCGAGTGGACCGATGCTGCGAGTGGGGTTATGGGCACGCCCGCAGCGCCGATATCTGGGCGCGATTCGCAATTTCTTGCGGCCACGCCTGGCCAGCCGCACGAGCCGACATGGCCTCACACTCAGCTCCAGCAGCAGCCCTATGCCACTGGCGAGGAAGCCATGACTGCATCGACCGTGTGTGGCGTCACAGCATGGAGGATGACTGGCATGGTCGCAAATGGTGCTCGAGGCTTCAACACTGCCCGCCAGGCTGCGTGCGCTACCGCGCCGATGGCTGAGGCCCCAGTTGCAGCACAGCAGCACCCTTGCGGCCCTGTTAGCACTGGGAAAGGGCTGGGTCAGCAGCCCTGGGTTGCAGCATCCTTCGGCCCTGAGATGGCCAGTACTGTCGGCGCGGACGTTACGGGCACCTGCAGTGGGACCTGGTGCGCAAACCAAGCAGCTGCTGATAGTGCCGGGGGACCCCCTACCGAGAAGCGTGTGGCTGCGGCTGCTAGCCAAAGCCTAGACCGATGGCTGCAGTCCAGTGTCCAGGTCACTGGGTATGACCGCGGCTCGGCAATGCACACGACGGGGACAGTGGTCACAACCTCAGTAGCTGCTACGTCGGACACTTCCGCGGTTGGTCCTGCCACAGCGGCGGGAAATCGAGGTTCCTATGATAGCGGCTATCTTGGGACTGATCGGCAGCCTACCACGGCATCCACAACCAACCTTGAGCACCCCGCCGCAGGAGCACCCCAGGCACAGCCGTTACAACGCCCAGCGTCTGCAGACCCGCACACGCGTCAGGAGTCCAGCCTCTCACTACAGCGTCCACCTCAGCAGCATCCGCTCACACAGACCCAGAAGCAACCACCCGGCGAATTAGCAAGGGGCCATGGACTGCACCGGGTCTCAGCTGCAATGCCGGACCCGTATCGCCTGCAGGAACCGCCCAGACGCCCCGATACGCAGGACAGCCGCGGTGAGCTCCGAGGACAGGAACTCCCTCATAACCTACATTCCGTGCAACAACCCGTACCACATGCTTTCCAACAACTGCATCTCTATCAGCTCCCGCAGGAGCATACCGAGCAGCCTCCACAGCAGCTGCCCCTGCAGCATACGCAGCCACAATCCTCTGACCGTTGGAGCGATGAGCAACTTCAGCAGCGCAGGCCGACGAGCCAAGCAGTGCTTGCCGACTGCGGGGAAGCCGTGGAGTTGTCAGCGCCTGATGGGGAGGGGAGTGACGATCTGCCTATGGACCCGGTGCTACTGAAGCGAGAGGTGCTGCAGCTGCGGAGACAGGTAAGTCAGGAAAGGCAGGTTTTTGTCTATTAAGGTGTTATCTTGCGTCATGGCACCTGTAGCCTTGTTTTGACACCAGCTGCCACATAGGGCTCGCGAATCGGGCCATGCGAGCCGTGCAGTGCCGGCATTTGCGATGGGTTTGTCTTCTTGAATACCCAAGTTAATTCGCTAGCAACATCAGGCTTCTGTTTTGAAATTTTAGGAACATGGGGCATTTGTGTGTGTTATGTGGTCGAGGGTGCCTGGTACCTGCATAGCTGTCTAACACGACTGGGGGAACCAAGGGCTTCCTAATGCCTGCCGAATGCTTTATCAAACTCCACAATACAACAGGTGAAATGTGAGAAACGGAAAGGGAAGGGAAAGAAATGCAGCCCCACGTGACCAAACGCAGGGTCTTTGTAGAATGCAAGCGGAATCGTTCTGTCCATAGCCTCCTCACCGCGCGGAGCGCCTCCTTATCCGAAACCCTGGCCCCCGCCCTGCCCTGGCCTGGCGATTCAGGTCGCTAGCCTTCAGCAGAAGCTTCGCAGTGTAGCCTGCACCGCATGCCAGCGGCTCCTGATTACTAGCGGACAAGAAAACAGCACCAGCAGTGTGCGGGCCATTAACCCGGAGGCGACGTGCCGACTTGCTGCCGTGGCTGTTACCTCAACTACAACTTATGGGCTGCGCCAAGCTAGCCGGCAAGCCGAATTATACGATGCAAAGTGCGATGGCATGGTCTCAGGTGGCTGTGAGAGCTCGTCCAATGGCCTAACGTGTAAGCGTCAGGAGCATGTTGCGAATCAGCAGCCGGGTGACGGGACTCCGAAGAGCTCTCGCAACAGTACAGCATGTGCAGCCAGCGCCAGCGTGAAGACACCAGGTAAGTTACGGCCCAGCATTGCCACCACAGCTGGGTCAGCATCGACGGAGGCACGGCCATCCGGTATGGCAGCTACGCTGGCTTGCTCGGGTGGAGGAGTTGAATACGCGGCACCTACTGATGCCAGCGCCATCCCGAATGATCCTTGGGTGCGACAGCCGGCAGCCGCAGCCGCAGCCGCAGCCACAGCTTCTTCCGTAGAACGGGTGGACCGCATGTCGGTGTTTTCGGAGGCTTCCGACCGTGCCAGCGTGTGGAGCATGGCGTCACTCCAAAGCTCTATCCTCTCCTACCACTCAAGCACCTCACGGATCTCTGCGGACGACATTAGCCGTGGCAACAACGGCTTCAGCTCTAGCGGGGGAGGCTCCATCCAGTCCGGCAGCCATACGATCCTTCGGCAGGACACATGCAGTGAGCCATTGCTGCAATGCAAGGGTGCGAATCAGAGCAGCGGCGGCGTCAGCAGTGGCTCAGGGAGGGATGATGCAGTCGCGCAAGGTGGCGGCCACGCGCTGCCAGCGCATCAGGCGTTTTCAACGGCCCAGCCGCACGAACGACTGCTGTTAAACCTTAACAGCAGGGTGTGTGCAGCGCAGGCACCTCAAATTGAAGCTACACCTTCTGTTCAATCTGGATGCGGTGCTGCTGCTGCAAGTGCGTCTGGGGGTCGCTCAGCAGGCCATCTGGGGAACGGAGACAGTGCAGGGCTTGAGGTTGCGGATCGTTTGTCTTCACCTTTCCAGCCGAACACAACGATCCGTGCGAGTGCAGACTATCAGCGTTTGGAATGCAAGCCGCGGCTTTGTGAGCGAGCTTCTGGCGGGGTCGTCAGCCGGGGTCAACGAAGGCCGCGACGGACCAGTAGCGACAGCGACGACCTTAGTGACCACTCCATGGTTTCAGAAGCTGGTGAGTCTGGATATGGGCGGTGTTCGTGGGCTATGTTGTCTGCCGGCTGATTGATGCAGAGGATACAACATGAGGTGGGAAATGACCCCAGGTCGAAACACATGCAAACGGCAGGCGCATTGTGGGTAGGAATTGCAAACTGCCATGTGCCATTGAATTCCAACATGCGTCATCTCGGTGTCGGCCGGTTACTCATACACCACATATGAGCGGTCGGTAGCAATGAACAACCATACCATCCGCCTGTCCTTGCTCCCTACCGTTTCCCCCTCCCGCGCTTTACATGGTGTGGTCTGCATTAATTCCTGGTTTGGAACCACTCAGATGACGTAGCCAGACCTGTACGGCCATCCGTTCCCCACTCCTGGAGAGCCGAGTTCCCAACTGCGCTGGATCGCGCGGATCACTGCAATGCGCTACCCGGTAACGCAGCAGGTGCCAACCACACATCCATATCCAGCTCCAGCGGATGGTCTGATAACCAGCCTCGCGTGATTACAGCGCCGCCACCACAAGTTTCCTCGGGGCCAACATCTGCGGCGGTATCGATTGGGCCCGTGATCCGCACCAAATACGTCCCGCTAGATAATGACAGTGACAGCAGTGACTCAGAGTCGGATGGGCTGCTAGAGCAAAAGTACGGGATACGGCGTACGGAATTGTGATAGACCAATGAGGACACAAATTACTCGTGGAACAGGCATGGAGGCGTTGGCGTGGGTTTTGTCGGGTTGACTTCAGTGTTGTGGTTGCGGTCCGGACGGTTCGTTTACTCTAGTGCGTGATTATGATGCAGAAATAAGAGTGCAAGAAGCCGCGGGCACGCGGTGGCATAAAACTTGGGAGCCGAAACACAAGACTCCGTCAATGTGAATGTGGCTAGAATTGCACGGTCGCGATTGCAAAATACCGTGACGGGCGTGCTTGGGACTGGTGATGGTGGGCGCCGAGTGATCAGTGATCAAGTTGTAAGGCATCTCCTTCTGCCTTAGGCTGGACAACAGAGCATTCTTTCGTCTTATCATGGCGTTGGATTTTGGTTGGAAGTGCGGGCCCTCAACGCCCATATGCCTTGCATGCTACCACCACTGCACAATACAGCGAGGGCCCCGCCTTCCTCGGCTCCGAGGGATTTGCACGTGTGGCCTCCCTGTGGAGCATTACTATAAGCACCGCAAAAAAGTAGGGGTGTCAATATTACAAAACCATTCATACTCGCCACTGGCCCTTATCTGCGACACCAACGTACCAAGTGATTAGCGGAACACAGTCTCCACCAGATTTCCCGTCTTGTAGAGATCTGCCAGGATGCGCCGGGCATCCGTTAATGCGGCACGACCCGTCGAACTACATTTTTCCTGTGCTTATCCAGATTGACGGCGGTGCGGATTCTGAAAACTTATTTCTGGGCACACGTGGCGGCACAATAATATGCGGGTGACTTCTGGGTATAAGTGGCCAAGTGAGAATGCGGGAAAGCTTTGATGGCCTTTATAGCATGCACGGTGCGGGAGGCCTGCGACATTGGGCACCGGCGGAGAACGCGGACAGCAACGCAGCTGCGGGGCCAGCTGTGGTAGGCCAGCGGAAACAGGGATGATAGCGGCAACGAGAGATAACCGGCACTTGTAGCAGCAACGGTGATGTAGAGGACGATGGTGTGCCTGCAGTGCGCACGCCAAATCCCGTTCCCTTGCGACCAGAACCTAGCAGCACGTATGACTGCTTGGGAGGATGTGTCGCCCATCCGTAAAGCTTTTTTCATGCACGTGGACGGGTGATGAGTAAAAACTCGAAATAGCGGCCACCGCGCAGACTTTATAGCTCAATCCAGTAAACGCATTGGTTGCAACCCGTAAGATGCCCGTGACATTACTGAGCCTATATGGTCACTCGTTTGCATTATGTAATACTGTGCGCCGCGAATGGAAAGACGACGAAAAAACGATGTATCCTGGGTGTAACGATGTGTTTGTTTACAGTTAGGTCCACCTTATCGACAGTCTATCGCGGTTGCATCCTATAAATTATGGTGACGGCCTGTACTGCTGCCAGGAAGGCGGTTGAGCAGGCAATCCAGAACCTATACGTGAGGAAAACGCAATATGGACCACAGTTAATATTCCTTATGAAGTATTGGACTGCCTGTTATTCTATCATCGCCAGCATCGTTCAGCTTTGTACTTACATTGTCCTTGCCAAACCGCATTATCATTATCTGGTGGAGTTTTTCAGATATGTTGCCTGTACTCATTACTTTTGCACGGTAGCAGTGAAGGAAAAAAATTGCCGGAGGAGAAGCAGGCACCGTTCTTAAAATGACTGAGCGAAATGACGGAGACGCGGCATCCCAGCGGAGCGGGGCAAGCTCAAACAGCGGGAACATGAGCGAGACCTCGTCTCAGCAGTCTGATGCAAAATTTTTACGAAAGCGGTGAGCTCTCCCGCCTGGTCCCAAGTCTCCTGTGCCTAACAACGTGTTTTCATGCGGATTATTTTGTGATGGCATGTAATAATTAATGCATTACAGCTTGTCTTGATGGACTAAAACTTTCGTGCGCTGATTCCGACATCCCGATAGCGCTTTAAAAGGGCAACATGGAGCAAATGATGAAACGGATTTATTGGAGCAAAAGAAGAGCTTTCAAGAAGGCGTCTTTGCTTGTAAGTATGCGTCCGTTACATCACACAGCTTCGCGACGACGGGAAATTTAGGATGCAGTTAGGTTCTTATGTACATCAGTGGTTCTTCATATATGTTATGCTTGTAAACAAAGCCTTACCCTTCGGGTGGAACGTCGGCCGCCTACCCCTGGAAACAGGCATGTACACGCTGGTTCGGCAATCAGCGCTTTCACAACTGGCTTTCGCCGTGCTGAAGGTGGTTCTAGAGTTTTTGGTGAGTAACATTAGGTTTGTGGATGTAAGAATGCATACAGACGGTCGTGTGTGCAGCTCTTCTATAGCATGGCATGCGTGTTTAATTCCATGCACTGGCGGATTTTGAAATGTTTTTCCGTTCTGGGTCAGGAACGTTATTGCGGGTCAGGAGTCGAACTGCCCACCCCTGCGTTGTACAGATGAATTTCATCGTGGCCTTCAACCCCAGTTTTAAGACATGGCGTATTGACACATCCAGCCCCCTGTGGCAAGTGGTCCGCTGGGCGGTGTGGCGGTCACCAATCATGCGGCTGTACGGCTATAAAACATACGGTGAGTTCTGATCCAGGGTAGCCGGGCAAATGTAGATGCATGCGGTGGGGCGGCGATATGCATTTATAGTCACAATCCTTATTTACTGTTGACACACGCGGTGTGTTGTGCAGTGATTGTTATGTACGTGATGGCGTCCCTCGTACTCGTGGCCGTGGTCGGGCTGGTGTGGCTGACGCTGGCGATGCGGAAACAGGAGCAGTCCAAGGTCCTACGCACGGCGGCCACGGCACTGCATGTGGTCTTTGACATCATGTTTGTAATGTGCTATGTCTCATTCTTCGGTGAGCACAGCATGTATGAACTGTAGCGGGTAGCCGTTAATATTTGCCTCAGTTTTTCTGCGTCGGCATCTGCTGGCTTCCGCATCGGGGCCCAACACGAACAGCAATAAGGGGCCAGAGGCATTTGATCGCAACGGCAACAGTGGAGCAGGCACCAGCATCGATGTCCCGCAGGCTGCCATTCACTGAACCACTCATGGACATGTTTTCGATAGTCTTGCTGGCCTCTAGAAACCAAACAGAGCGTATGGGGCGGTTCCACGTGAGCAGAGGACCTGCATGTTCAACGTGCGCATCCTGGCTGACTTCGTGATTATAGAGCAGCCCACGAGATGTTAGCCTGCAGTGGAAGCATCCTGCATACTTATGCGTACCTAATGCTTATGGTCGGGGACGAGTTTATAAGCACGAAACGTATGGAAAATGCATCTGGACACGTGGAATAATGTCTAACGTTGTCTAACATGTCACCACCTACCCACACGCGTCGTCTGCCCCTCCTCGTGCCCCTTTCCCAACGAATGTGCGCACTTGCTCGGACGGGACGGACGGGATACGTCCGGCGGGTCGCTGGCTAACCGCCAGATTTCTTTGTCTTCATGGCAGACTGCTCCTTCTTATCCACCAAGGAGCACCTCTACTTCACCGGCGTCGGTGAGTGCGGTCCAGGGGAGGCACGGTTAAGACACGCTACTGCTGGAACCACTGTCTCCAGCTCGAAATGTGTTTTTGCGCCAGATATTGACGCTTAGGGAGAAACACTACACCCAGTAACCGCTGGGCCATGCCAACTAATAGTCGACTAGCAGAGGACTGGGTCTTGTTTGAGTATCCCCTGCCTTGATAGGGAGTATTGTACTTGAAGTTGACAGCAGTTGAATTGCGATGCGTGCACCTGTATGCCGCCACTACTATCATGGGCACTGGGTTCTCTTGGGCCGTAGTTGTGCTGCCTGCCTGCCTGATTATTACCAAGCGTGGCACGGCATGCAGCTTAGAAGGTCGTACCGTTATAACCTGCTGTCTCGCCTCCTTGGGAAACGTGCAGCTTGTCTAGAAATGCCTCACCTGCTGCACATGCTGGTGGCGCTGTCCGCTGCCGCGCTGTTCCTGATTGTTACGGCGCTCGTGGTGGTGGCGTCAGCGGAACTGAACCCCGTCTCTTGCGCCTACCTGTCTACGCCGGCGTCAGTTGTTAGGCTCAAAATCCTATTTACCAAAGCGGTGTACGTTATCCTGGCAGACTGCCTTGACAGCCATAGTCGGCTGCAGAGCTTAGGCATGGCGGCGGCTGTGGTGCTTATCTTATACTGGAACTTCCGGGCGGTGGGTGCTGGGTCGGGTTGGCGGTATAGTAACATTATCCTGCCGTGGGCAGGACGAAGGGTGAGGCGAAGGACAGAAAGTGGGGATATCGTGTTTGGGATGGCCGAGTCCTACCGACCCAGCGTTGTGGTCACCATTGGATGCCTCGTGCAATGCTGTGCGTGTGTGTTTTCCGGCGGCGGCTCCACGTTGCCCGTCCGTCCCGGCCGTCCTGGCGTTATTTCTTTCAGACCGGCCCACCTAAAACGCACGGTAATGTGTCGATGGGCTTACGCGCGCGTGGGTGCAGCTATCCAAGATGCACCCGTATGCCGAAGAGCCACTGCTATCTGTTGCTGAGCATTGTTGGTGCGGTCCTGTTTAACGAAGTGATCCACGGGTCCCTGTGTTTTAGTGTCTTTCAACCCTGACTGTGTTTTAGTGTCTTTCAACCCGGCCACGTATGCACTCGCTTGATTTTCCTACAGATGCCTTTCTACCGTAAAACGGTCAACATCGTCTGGACGGGGCTGTGGGGAGGTGTCCTATACACATGCTTGGTGCTTAACGTGGTGACATTCGGTAAAGACCAGTCACCGGAGCGCCACAGGGAAATGACCAAAGTGAGGCAATCGAGTGTTCAGCTCCTTGCTTTGCCCTGCCTTGCATAGGCTTGCGGTGCTGTTCTTAAGATTCCAACATCCTTTTACTCTTAGGAGTAAAATGCGTGCTGCTGGTGTGTGCTCTGGCCAAGGACACGCCATGAATTGGAGAGGTGTGGAACACCTGTACTGTATTGCGCTGCAGCGTAGTATGAAATTCGCTTGCAGGAGGTGCAACGTGGCCGTGTGTGCGTTGCTCCTTTCCAGTTTACACTCAACCCGCCTATGGTTAGAGCAGCCGCGCTGCTTGCACGTGTTGCTTCATTTCTGAAATGTTTCCCGCTTGCGTCTGGTGTCTCCACAGCTTGTGCTGTTAGGCATCTTCCCTGCGATTCTGATGACCATGCTCGTACAAGCCTTGTACGTGTGGTGGGCGATGCGCCCGGCGCGCAAGTTTCGAAACCTTGAGTTGGGTATCAAGCTGTCCAAGGTCTACAAATTTGAGTCGGTGTACGAGGTGGAGCGGCTGGCTCGCGTGATGCGCAAGTTTGACACCGAAGGGCTGGTAGAGGAAGATGCGGCCGCACTGGGGGAGACCATCATCAAGGCCGGCCTGCAGACCTTCCCCAATGCGCCGCACCTCCTCATCCTGTAAGCGAAGCGAGCGGAAGGGAGAGCCTGCTCGTTGCATTGGCGGTCTTCTGCGTGCCTGTGGAAATACCGCTTGTATGCTGTGTGGGACAGGGGGGTCATATCTTTACCCTGTCATCACTACCCGGCAGACCCTGCCTTCCCCAGCATTTAGGGGCACCCCCATCCAGTCACCCTAGCCAACTCCTCAGTAGATTAGCACCCACCACCGGCATCCAACGGAATCCGTCGGATCGACAGCGGCCCAACTCCGTTCCTGGTCAGCTCGCAGGTCAACTTTATCCCAGGTCACCACCGTTCATCGCCTAGGGGCACTTTTACCTTCCACCATCAGAAGGATGTTTTGACCTTGGCAGGTCTCGATCCCGGAACCTCCGGGGGCATCCGTGTGTGCTTTAACAGTACTGCCTGACGCTTGTATGTAAATGTCCTATCGAGGTGATGGTTACAGCTGTTGCCGAGGTTCATCATCGCCTTGCCCAGCTCTTACCCATCCCGTATCCTCAGCGAGCTAGCTGCGGTACCTGGGATTCCTAGAATTCGGCCAGGTGTGGTTGATCTAGTATCCCCTCTGGGGGCGTGGACTTCTTGACCCTAACTGCGGTCCCGAAAAACGCTTTGTTACCCCCCGTGCGCTGGCGCCACCTATCGCTGCCCATGTGTGCGCCTAGGTACGCCAACTTTGTGCTGGAAGTTCGCAAGGACGGCCCAGCGTCAAGAACACAGTTGCAGCTAGCGGCAAAGCATTCGCCCGATATCATCCAGCGCTACCAGGTGACTGTGGGCCGTACGTTTCCGTGTGTATGGGAGCTTGCAGCGTGAGCGCGGGGCGGCTCGGGGTGCAGGGTAGGGACGCAAGCGGGCTCCGGCCTGAATTCAGGCACATGGCCGCGGCTTGTGGGACGTGTTGGATGGGTTCATAACATTACTAACAGACCGATGGCTGCGCTCATGAGAGTACCCGCACGCTGGTAACAGGTGACTCTTAGGCGTCATGTGGAGCTCGGTTGTGTCGCACGAACATACGAGCTATATTAGAACACACGTGATGCCAGGAATCCTCAAGCTGAATGTAACATATAGCGGCAGCTTGTGCGCGATCAGGTGTCGATTGCTGCTGCTCACTTCCGTCAACGCTACGGAACGCGCTGACTTGGTCCCCATGGCGCTCACATGCTAATTTCTTTCCTTTTCTTCCACATGCTCACATGGATAGATCTTCTGCACCTACGAGGCCAGCAAGCGGCTCAAGGGCAGCCAGCAGGACTGTATGGACCTGCAGGCGTACACTGAATTCAAGAGGAACTTCAGGTGCGAAGCGGGGTCGGGCGGGCGGGAGCCGATCAGTTGCTTGCTTGTTCTATGTTTGGGAAAGGCATTACGTACCCGTGCCCATACCTCTGTTATCGCAAGCTGTCCACTGCTACGTCTGTCCATGTTCATGTTCGTGGAGTCTATCTCCTGTCCTTGCCTGTAAGGCCTGGGGTGATACCAGCGTTAGCTACCCCTCAATTTTATCGGCCACTGCACTGCCGTTACCCCCTGGGGGCCCGACCCCCGGGCGACTCACATCACTGCTGGCAGTCCTCCTCACCTGTCTATCCTTGCTTCCGTGTCTATGTTTTGATGGCGCCGCAGGGCGGTTTTGCGCGTCCATCGCGAGGTGCTGGTGATGCAAGCGGAGCTATGGCAGCTTTGCATGCGGCCCTCGCTGAGAGTGAGGCAGTTTGACGAGGCACTGGACGCGCTGGAAGCGGCATCGTCACGGGCAAACCAGGTCTATAAAAGGTGCGTACTACTGCAGGTGCAAGCGAGGCGGTGCGCGCGGCTCATCGAGGTTGCGGGATGTTCATGACTTTAGACAACTCCATACACACATTCAGCTGTGGTATACATCTGGAAAGTGTGGAGCAGCGGCACGTGGTCAGGCCGTCTGGGATTGTGTTCTCTGCTGGTCCAGATGGCGGCAGCTTTCGCGACGACACAACGGCTCTTTTGCTTTTTGGAAATGAACGGGTTATCTATACGTGCCTGAAGGGTGACCGACAGCAACAAAAGCAAGCTCAGCAGTCCCTTTACACTCCCCCGTTGCGCTCCCTGTTGCTAATTGCTGATAACGCGCACCTTAACGCCCTTGGTTAGCCGTCGTTGCCTTGTACACGTGGCCACATTCCCAGGGTCATTGAACGCTACCCCAGCAATGGCAAACTGCTGCGCTGCTACGGGAAGTTCCTGGAGGACGCGCGGCACGACCACGTGGCAGCGGTGAGGGCGTACACCGCGGCCAACCGCAATGGCGCTGGCATGGCATTACTGTCACTGGATCTGAGCTCGGGCCTGCACGGCGGCGATAAGCCCGACTTTCTGACGTCCATGTCATTGGAGGATGACGCAGTGGTGGTGATTGACGCGGAGGGCACCATCATGATGGTCAGCCAGGTGCGTGTGCGTTGTGTGGAGCTTTGTGCCTTGTACACTACAAGCTACCGTCGTGAAGCAGGCAATCGTCCTCCGTGCGCGTCTCGCTGCCTGGGTTGCTTGATGGACAGGATGATACAAGACAAATCGGTGAATCTTCCCCAAGGCGATGGGATTTTTGACCGCCCGTTGACGAACGAATAACCGCTGCTGCTGGGACCGTTCCTTTCTGGCCTTGCAGGCAGTCCAAAAGACTTTTGGCTACGCCAAGACGGAGCTAGAGGGCGCAAATGTGTCGATACTGATGCCGCAGCCCTTCAGCCAGCGCCACGACGCCTATTTGTCTCGATACGTGGCCAGCGGAGAGGCACAAATTCTGGACAGCGTGAGGGAGGTGGTGGCACTGCACAAGGTGCGATGGTTGCCGTGGTTGCGCTGGCCCAAGATTAGTGTGGGGTGGGATGGGTGGGAGGAAGGACGTGGATATGCCTTGCTGCTAGCCTCGCTCATATTTTTATTTGTCGTGAGCGTGTAAGTGCTTTGGGGCGACAGAGAATTACGTGGTTCACGTTCTTGGGGAGCGTTACCTCGTTACCTTATTCCTGCTTGCTGAGGAACTTTGTATACTTTGGATGCAAAACTGTCTTGCGCGTCTTGAGTGGCAGAGACGGAGCACTGTAGGACTGATGGAACGCAACTAACCTAAGTACCCATCCATGGGGACGTGCAAGCCGCGGGACGCCAGGACGCACGAAGCAGAAAGCAAAGCTAGGTGTCCTGCGTCCATTTGCCTTTGCACACACGTCCAGAGTCCTGGCCGGGTGATTGTTTGTCATGTGTTATTTAGGTATCCAATCTTCACGAGCAAGCTGGCGCGCAGCTTCCACCTACCTGTCGATCGAGGTTTATTTCCGTATCACTCAATTCATTTCATCACGCCCCGCTCGTTGTGCTCAGGACCGTTACGTCTTCCCGGTGGCGCTTTGCGTCACCAGGCTTAGCGGCGTGGGGACGGATAGGTGAGTTCGACAGAATTGGCGGCCACTGGCTTGCGAACTGGCTACCAGCGTATGTGGATTTCGTACCAGCGCACATTGCTAGTCCACGGCGGGGAAATTGTCTGGGTCAGCGCTCCTTTTACTGCAGAATGACTGGATTGTTCATGCGCGGTGTAGGCATATCTCATGCGCATTCTTGCAACCTACTGGATTGCCTTTTGATGCAGCATTTTTCTGGGCGTCATCCGGCCGCTGCCCCCTGACATCCGCAACCTTCGGGCGTGGATTGCGCCCAATGGCGTCTTCCTGTGTTCGGACCAGCAGTTCGCCTCCTCCATTGGGGTATTTGAGGGAGATCTGGTGAGCATGGAAATTAGCTGCTGAGTGCTGGGAAGACCGCGGGACAATCCACGTGTGCGATAAGCGGGATGCGGCTCGTCAAGTCTGTACTTTCTACCGTTTCCTGTGGGCAAATGCTGGGGTTGAGTGCCTTTAAGCAATTTGTTTATTGGCACTCAGCTGGACAGTAGTGGCCTCGATTAAGATCATGCTAGTACGGGTGCTGCACTGGTCGCCTGGCGGCTTGAGGTCCAGAAGGGGTGGCAAGTATATAGGGTGGCAAGGGGCGCCCAACATCAAGCAAATGCACGTGTCGCCCTTGTGTCCTTTTTCTGGAACGCAGCAGTCGTGCGTTCTTCCCCCGATCCCTGTTGGGCTGTACTAGATTTTGTGCAGAGGTATCCCATCCGAGCAACATTATTTTATCCCCTCCGTCGCCAGGTCGGGCACCCGCTCTCCTCTCTGGCGGTGAACAGCGAGGAGGTGGAGGCGCTGCTGGAGCGCTGCAAGGCCGCTTCCGCCGCAGAGCTGGCCAGCGGGGAGATCACCGCACAGCTGACTCTGAGGCACAGCTACACGGCGCCGGTGCCCATGGCCGCCGTTGTCCGCCTGGCAGGTTGGCGAAAGTCTGAGTTTGCCCTTGCAGTATTCACTTGTTATACCTAGAGACGCTGTGATCAGGATGACCTTACTTGGAAAAAGCGGTGTCAATCAGGGCCATACACACATGCGTCATGCGTAAGCAACAACGCTACTGTGTATGTGCGATGTGGCATCGCATCTGAACTTTCGCTGTCTTGTGGGGGTTGCATGACCAGTACAGATCATGCACAAGCGTAGCGGCAGTATGTGTACCGAGTCATCAATGCTTTTTAATAAGTGATGAGCTCTAGGAACGAGGTCATCCTGGCTGTTGCTTCCTGCCGTGCTGGTCTAGGTACCGACACTCAGCGCATCCTGGTTCTTCACTGCCGACGCACTGATGGGCTGGACGGCAGCATGCTGGCTGTGGACACGCACATGCGAGTCAAGTTTGCGTCGTGCGAGGTGGCGCTGCTGCTGGGCTACTCGATGCGCAAGCTGGCCTCCATGAGGCTGGACCAGCTGCTGCCGCCGCCGTACAACGCCCTCCACGCGAAATGGCTGAGGGTAGGTGCATGGGGACGTATGCCCACGGCTGAAGCTCCAACTTCAGACGTTTTTGTGTCTTGCTTATAGAGTATAATGTATGGAAGTTATCTTGTCAATAATATTTGGGATAATTTACGGAAATTTGCAATGATGAGCTTGACCCGCGTGGTTGCCAAAGCAAAGTCCTTCTGACAGTATCTTACACACCATCATCGTTTCGTGTCCCTTGCATTGTCCCCTTGCTGTCTCCAGATTACACTCATTAACGGGCGGGTCGCTCGCTCCCGCGGTAATCCTGCTACTGCCTGCTGCAGGACCCTCCCCATGTAGTTCCGCCCGCCAGCTGCCGCTCCGGCTCCGTGGTGCATTTACAGCCTGAATCCGGATTCCCGGTCCCCGTCCGGCTGCAAATTAGCGTTCTGGACAATGCGATACAGGGGGCATCCACCGCCGCTGCCACCCTCTACGTGGTCCAGGTAAGCAAAAGCAACACATATAGCCGGTTGCGTCCGACAGATAGCCGGTTGCACGACTGGGTGATAATAACGGGGATAAACCAGTCCCACATCGTGCCTGCCTTTCAGATCTGCCTGCAGAGTGAACGGACGGCCAACTTCTGCATATTACACCTGGCAGCTTTCCCCCCGCTGTGCGCCTATACCTGATTCGGTGATGCAGATAGCCATTAAAAGCAAGTCTGCAGTCATTGCCGAGGCCTATAGACTGAATACCTCCTAACTTATATGTGACTTAGGTTTTGTGAGCGCAAGTCGCAACATGCACTGCTGTTGAAGTCTTTTATGACCCCTTCTAACCATCTACGAATAGGCATATCAGATGCCTCTGTGGTAGGTGTCGTACGGTACGGCACACCATGAATACCTATGCGCACCAGAGCACACTCAATGGTAATAGGACCACACCTTTGGTGACACCAGGAAATATTAGTTCGAATCTTGCAAAGTGCAGGGCGGCAGCATGTATATTTATCGATTAGGTTCACCAATAACGGTCTACCACGGTTATTTATGTACCTCATGCTGACTGAGAGGGCTCTGTGCCTGAAAGTCTGTTAAGATAGCTAGGTGCATGTGAGGGGCCGCATGACGTGGCCTGGACTGGCGTGGCATCTACTGCCCAAAGGTTAGGAGAAGGTAGGCACAGGCAGCTGGTGTGGCCAGGACCCGGGAGGGCCCGAGAAGGCCAATCCACGGGGGAAGTGTAGTAGCTGTCGTACAGTACGGCACAAACCAATTCCTATACGCGCTAGAGCGCGCATCTCGCGAGGAATTTTCAGCGGCCAGCTATTACAGCCTAATACGCTTGCGCATTACTATCCCAACCAGCAGTACCCCACAAACCTGTTTGACTGGACCATGCGGTCCTTTCGCCTTCTGCCCGTCCATCTACTTTGCCCGCCCACATGCAGGTGCACAAGGTCCCTGCCGACGAGCTTTTTCACGAAAAGCGGCTGGTACTGACGCTGGATTTTGCTGGCAAGGTGCTCATGGTATCGCCCCCTGACTCCGCCATGTTTGACTTCCCCGCACTGTCACTGATTGGCACCAACGTTTCTGACTCGGTCGACATTTTTGCTGACTGGCGCCAGCGAAGTGGGGATGCCCAGATGCAGCTCATCCTGCTGGCCCTCCTGTACAAGGAGCAGGAAATGCCGGGTGGGTTTGATCTAATGTTGCCCCTCGCGTTTGCGTTGGCGCGCAGCGGTACCACGCATACGCACCGTGTGATGCAGGGAACGGCATACGGCCTGCACTGCCATGGGTAACGTTAACCATGGGTAACGTTAAGCCATCGGTAACGCTAAGCCATCGGTAACGCACTGGCCCGCTTCGTTGCATGCTGTGTTTCTGGACAATGAATGAAAAGATTTTTGTTTCTTTGCAGGTACATCTTGGCGGGTCCGAGTGCACAGACCGGAGAGCGATAAGGAGGCTGCGACCGCTATGTCGTCGCTTGCAGCTGGATCCGTAAGGGCCGGCGGCAGTCGGCGAAACTCTCTGTCTGCGTGCCTGCAGGTTAGCGACCGTAATGGGAGGCCGCGGGTTAGCTGCTTTTACGGTTTGGACCTCGTCCTCTGTGGTCATATGGCTAGCTAGATTGGTTTTGGGCATGCGTTTTGGGCATGCGATTCTTTAAGTGACAAACATCAAAAGTCAACCTTTCTCTCCCCTGGCCTCTCTCAAGATGCGTCTCGTGCTTGAATCATGCGTCGCGAAGAACGGTGCTCTTTTGCCCTTTATACCGAATTACAGGTCGAGATGCAGGATAATAGGGACGAATTTCAGGCCATTGATAGGGATGGCACTGGAGAACACGAGCCGCGGGTTCGCGTTACGCTGTGGCGGCGCGACCGACTCACCTCCGTGCTGGAGCTGGACGAGGAATTAATCATTCGTCGTGCGAGTCCCCTCACGGGCCTTATCACAGGGCTGCCCACGTCCGCGATGCTGCGCAAGCCGTTGAGCAGGTGTGCTTGTATGACCCCCACCGTAGCTGTGGGTTATGGCACAAACATGAACCCATTTTTTTCGTCAAACAGGTACCTTGCATTTTACTGTTTATTCGCAAAAGGTGTGACGGACGGGAAAACAAATCGCTGCTACGGCTTAACACCGTTCCCTGCAGCCAGCCGGGATGGATGAAACGAAGCTGGAACAAAGCAAAGGACAAGTTGGATGCACTCTTTGTGCAGGTGTTTCCTGTGTTAGCAAAGCCCGCACGGATTAATCTCCCTTTCCCTCTACTGCCTCAGGAGCTACCTTTGCCGACTTACAAACTTCTAGGGCCATTCCTGAGCTGCGCAGGGCGCTCATCGCGCACGGTGTCCATCAACTCCTCAGCAACCCACATTGCCTAAGGACTGAGCCATGTCGGTGGTCCTGCTTCAACTTCTCCCATGACGTGACAGGTTTTTGAACATTCCGCACTCCGCGTCCTGGGATAAGCTGGTGGCTGCCACACGTCAGCCGGGTCATGGTCACCACAAAAAGAGCGCGCTGAAGGCCACCACCGACCGCGGCAGCATCAGTCCCGTGATGGCCTTCATCGGGCCGCATCCGGACTCGGGTACTATGCGGCTGATGGTGCAGGGAGTGCAAACCCTGGGGCCCGGGGGCAGGCCAAAAGTCACGCTCACCATGCACCCCGACACCACCTTCGTGGGCGCGCACGCCAACCTCATGCGTGTACTGAGGCTCAACGCAGACATTGACAGAAGGGCCACAGCCGATGGCGGGGCTGTCGCAGACGACGACGGTGTGCGTTCTCTGGCTGGCGGTCAGGCGCGCTCACGGGCGTCATCGGCGTGGCAGTCTCGGACAGCAAGGAAAATGAAGAGCATGAAGCAGTCCGCAGCAGTGGAGGAGGAGGGCGACGGTGCAGCAGCTGGCGATGCTCTGGATGCGTTAGCGGCGGAGGCGGAAACAAAGACAGAAGCGGAGTTGGGTGCGAATGGAGACAGCGAAAGTACCAACGGCTTAGAGGGACTTGGTAACAGTGATGAAGAAAACGCTGGTCGGGATGGAGGCGGTGGGGAGGAAAGACCGGACAGCAGGTCGAAGCAGCGTGAGGTGGTCAAGGCCACGCGGGGTGAATTGGAAGATGACAATGAAGACCCGGGCGCCAGCCTTCACCGCCAGTCCACCTCCAAGTCGGAATTTGTGGCCCAATGGGTGCGCACACTGTCACACCGGGTCAGCGGCCGCCTGTGTCTTGAGGCGCCACTACAGCAGCAACCCCCAGGCACGCCCGGTGGCGGCGAGGACGGCAGTAGCGGCGGTGTGCTGCCTCAGTCAAGGGGTAGTTCACGCCTGGCTGCTGCAGCTGCATGCGCTCCGTCGCGACTGTCTACCATCAGGGAGGCCGCTGATGCGGGTGCCGCCGAGAAGCAACTCGATCTGGCTACACAGCCCTCATCAGCTGGTTACCTACTGCACAGGGTCAACAGCAGGAGGGACTGGGCCGATGCAGCCAGCATGCCGCAAGCAGGCAGCCCCGCAGCTAAGAGCGGCGGAGGAGCCTCACACCGGGATTCCCACGAGGACGATGTCGAGGGGGGCCCTGTCGACGCCGGCAAGGAAGAGAAGGCCATGAGCGAGAGTGGCGAGTCAAGCGCGGACGGCAGCCAGGCCGCCGGAAGCATTATATCCAGTGAGCTGCGTGCGTGTGGTGTAGTGATCCGAGATTCACAAGTTTGATGACCCCACATGGATGAACATGGGTGAACTCTCTTCTCTGTCTCTACGGGGATTTAAATGAACGGAGGATCCTATATATATTGCGCAAACACCGGGTATTCCGGTGATCTGGGTATTCCAGGCACATTGTGCCATTCCAATGAGAGCTCGTGGCTATGTGCGCTGTGCGACTCTGCTGGTGCCGATGGGCCCTTTGCCGTGTTGCAGGTGCCACAGACGCCACTTCGGTGTCGGAGTACATGATTGACTCACGGCGGGGCCGGCTGCTCAAAGCTCTACACAAGCAGCTGCTGGGGCCGGCCCTCATGAAGCACGTTGACCGGCTGAGGCTGCAGAGCTTCCTGCTGATTGGTATCATGTTCGTCGCCCACGTGATTGCGTACAGCATTATCACTTCGATGATCAAGACAGAACATGAGTGAGTCGTTTGTGGAAGGGCGCGCAGAAGTATTGTCTGGTGTTTCAGGTAACCCTGATCCAACATGACCAAATATCGTGATCCTGAGATGCGGTATATAAACACGAACGTCATGTAAGCGTCCGTGGCAATGTTCGGGATGTGTGGCACAGGTTCATGTTTAAGTTGCCGACCTGCTGATCAAGCCCCCTTCCCTTTGCCCCCCCCATCTAACAGCTACGTGTATAGCGTGCACCGGCAGGCTATGGCGATGGACAGGTGGGTTGCAAGGCTAGCTGCGTCTAAGAATATGGGGATTCATCCCCTTCTGATTCTCACGGCAGGATGATGCCGACCTTATGGTTACGGTGCGCCGTCACTTTGTGTGTTCCCCATGCCTGACAAGTTCACCAAGTAGAATGTAGGCAATGCCGCCTAATAAAGACACGGGCAGTGCCGACGTCGTACCGGGGGCACGGTGAGGGACAGCCCACTCCGCGACATGCAGCTGCGTAGGTTTGCGGCTTGCCTGTACCAGCAGGGGCCAGAAAGGTGGTTCAGCAGCAAGTCGCACCAACCAAGTATCGTGGTTGCTCCCTTGGCGATACGCAAGTAATACGCAAATGGGAATATTACGTACCCAACCCGGGGCTGCTGCCGCCACTTGCTGTTGCCCCAGGTCGCAACTTATTATTGTGCGAAGTGTCGCCGGTGCCTTCTGTGAGCGCGCCAACGTAACCGAGAAGGTTTCGGTGTGCGCCAACTCCCTGAGCTTTACCCTGGATAAGCTGAAGACCAACATTGCGCGCATGGAGGAGTACCATCGTAAGTATCCGGAGGGCAACTTGTGGCAGCGGGCAACTTGCGCAGAGCGCGAGCTGCGGTTGTGTTCCACTTACCTAGTGTGCTGTACGGATGGGGGCCGCAGGGGCCCAGGGAGTCCTCGCTTGGCACACGTCGTCAAGCGCTTATATCGCCGCCAGCCTTCAGTGTCTCTGGTGTATTATCTTACGGGCGTGCATTGAATGGCAAGGTCCTTCAGGGTTTTCCGTTCGTTAATTGGTGCTGTATTGCTTTGACACTGCGTTGCTTGAGGGTCAGGCAGGGAGGAAATGCCTTTTCACCGACGTGCGCATTTCATGACCCCAGCAAGGCTGGTGATAGCTAACGATGCGCATTTCCTTGCATTTCCTTGTTTTATACTCGATCTCCGTCCAGAGGGCGTGTACCTGGGGTTTGACAAGAATAACGTGGACAGGCTGTCGCAAAACGTATATGACGTATGGACCAAACACGGACTGGAGTACCACGGTGGGTGAGGCATGGCCAGGCAGGGCATTACGCCAATTTGGGAACCCACGGCTTAGACACATCAGGCTTCAAACACATCAGGCTTTAGACAGATATTAAGGAATTGTGGGGATATCGGGTGGCCGGGTCAAGGCTTAGGCATCTTGGCATTGTTGGACTTCACGCATGGGGCTGCAAGGACCTTCCCACCCTGATGGAGGGAGCTCATCCCAAAGCCTGCCTAAGCAGGAGCTGCATCGCATCTGCCTCGGTCACGCTGGCCTACCTTGTGTACTGTCCTAGTGCCAATAGCTTACCTGTTTACTTTTTTGGATCCTTGATCCCTCGGACATGTGATATAGTGTATATGGACACAAGTTCCCCGCAAGTCATGGTGGCCACAGCGGGCGCCTGGCAGCTGGGTAACCGCTTCATCGCGGCGGCACGGGAGGCGCTTTACCTGCTGCCGAAGCTGCGCGATAATTATAAGTGAGCCATCCACAGCCACCGCAACAGGCTTCCCTTCGTCATTATATGTGTGTGTATTACACCTTGTGGAGTTGTGTTACTTTCCAAAGGTGTCACCTAGGGGCCCATACGAGCCCGAGGGAGCCCAAGGGCCCAGCCCAGGGATGGATAGATAGCATTTGCTTTCCCCATGATAGTACGAACGTAACTCGAACGTCGTCACACCGTCTGCACGCACGCGTATGTCTGGACACAGCCAATGACCACTTCGTTGCTTTTTTCGTCCCTGTCGCCGATATGGCTGGTCCTTACCACCTGCCTTCCACTTGAGCAAGCTTTGTGTCGCGCGGCAACTCCTCGTGTACGAACACAAGCTAGCTTGCTTTTCCACTACCCTCGCGTTGATTTCCACCTATTCACTTTTCGGCCGTTCCTTGTCCCTTCGCCTCCTCTTAGGCTCCACCGGACGTACCAATTCATCAAGACTAATGGGTTGGGGCCACTGTTCGAGGGCTACGCGGCTAGTCTGGACATGCTGGTGGATGCGGCGTGGGCCAGTATTGGCAAGCTACGAATGGGTAAGCAAGCATTGTAGAGTGGGTCGGCTGCGTGGAGCCTCGCCCCACAAAGACCACAACAGGGGCCACCGCCATGGGTATTGGGGCTTAGGTCGGTGCATCCTTTATTCTTGCCACTGCATGCCAGTTGCAAATAGGTCGCTCACGTACCGCTCCCGTCCCTATGCTATTGCCACGTCCTCTAGACCTGCTCGTCACGCTGGTTGTGGAGGCGATTGTGGTACAGCTGTGCTGCACTTGCTACGAGCTTTACCTGGTGCAGCGAACCGAATGGGCGCGGCTGCTGGGGGTGCTGGCCATGCTAGGGTTGCCGGGCCCGGTTCTCAGGCAACTGGCCAGCTCGGATACGAGGGTGCGTTGCTAGACTGCAGGGGTGGGATCGGGTGGGGCGGGGTTTCTGCAGCGGACGTGGGGAGTGAGGTATGGTGACGTCCATTGTGATTGTGAGAGCGATTTTGAACCGGTGTGTGCATCTGGAGGTGCATACGGGTAATGCAGGCGGCCTTGCCTTCCAGTGCGTCGGCCCTCTCGCTTACGATGGGCGCCTATCAGTGAAGGGTCCTAGCAGTCGGATGACGCGGCAAAGCACGAGTGCCGAATCCGATAGCTGTTTCTCGGTGTGGATTCGCTTAGACCCGGTTTGGCTCACTCCATTCGCTTTGCGTGCACACATACAGCCACCTTGGAACCTCCTGGGGGGGTTTGACTGTAATGGTGCTACCGAAGGAGTGCCGCCGCACTTCCGGGATGTACCAGCCGCCGCCAGTGTACGCGATGCAAATCTATTTGAAATCACTGAGAAGCTTTCCTGCCGCGGCCTTTTCATATCCTCGATCAGATTGTCGACGACAGCGACGACGAATCGGACGATGACGATGATGATAGCAGGGCAGGCGACGAGGAAGAACGACGTGGCGGTGCGACGGCAGCCCGGGCTGGCGATAATAACAGTGGCGACCGGGACAGCGCCCCGGATCGTGATCGCGATCGTGGCGGCGCGGGCCTCGTACCGACCGCCGCGCCGCAGTTACAGTCTGGTGATGTTGCGGAACCAGCAGACGTAGCGGGGCCCCTCCAGCGGCTTGAACGCAAGCCAGCGGACCTTAGCAACGAGCCCCGTGCTAATCCGGCGCCGAAGCATGTGGTGCGCCTACTGTCCGGGCGTAGGAACCTTAGTAATGACGGGCAGGTGGACGGCATGGCCGCGCCCGCTTCCGCACCATCCAGCAAACCCGGCTCTCCGAAGCTTGACGTGGAGGAGAGGCCCTTGCCGGCGGCCGGCGGCCAGGTAGGTCCTGCTATGCACGAGGGGAGCCGTGATGCCGGGCTCGATGCGTGATGGATATATGGGTGCGAGGAGTGTATGTGTGTATGCCGCTGATGTGAAGGCGTTTAACGGTAGCTTCGGCCGAATCTGAAGGTCCTGGTAGCTGCTGTAAGTTTTGTTGGGAGCGCGATTTTTGCGTGATTCGCTCCGATTCCGCTTGGTTATCGTAGCAAAACATGCTCCCTGTTACGCCTTCTTGGCAACGTCTCACATCTGGTGCACGCAACTGCCTCCCTCTCTCCCGGACGTGCACTTGCAGGCGAATGCCCCTGCTCTGCGCGCGGTGTCCCCTCGGAAGGCCGCACGGACACGCGGTCAGCAAAGCATCTCTCGGTTCTGGATGCAGATCAACGGCAAGACATTGAGACCATCGTTCTGGAACGTGGCCAAATTTATGGTGCGGTGGGAGCCGGGGTCGGCAAGGATAAAGCGACACACCCCGCACTAATGCTAATGCTGGCGACGAAATAAGTTGCCCAAGAGTAACGTGGCTTTGACGCGATCGCCTCAATAGGAGTTCTTTTAAGGATTAGAATTCGTGATCGCAAGGGTGTAGGTTCGTATCCGGGTCGGGGCACAGTTGGCGCAGGGAGCGCAGTTTGGATAGCCCAGCCTTCCAGTAGGGTCTGAGTCCGGCCCTGCGGGATAGTGGCCATGCGCCACGGGATACATGTACAGTCCGAGAAGTGCGCCTGATGGCACCTGTGAGGATGGCCGAGGGGGCGTGGGTTAGACATCCAATCGCATGCAGTGGAGGACGGTTTGACGGGGAGAATGGGGGCAACACGGATAGGGGCCGCAGGCGTATGCCTGCGAGAACAAAATACGGGTGACCAATAGCGATTCCTAACCAAGCCTTTCATAGCTGGTCCCCCGCTGGGGTTAATGGTCCTGGAACAAACATTCCTTTACGGTTTTGACATCACTGCCCTTCCGTTCATGTGCCGCCTGGCAGGTGCCGTTCTTCCTGTGGAACCTGGCGGTGATCCTGGTGTACGCCGTGTCGCTGATGAAGCTGAATGGCATGCAGGGCCCGCTGGCCTCCCTCAACATGGCCTCCCACGTCACCTACCGCTACACCCGGGTGCGGGCCATTGCACTGGCATTCGTGACGCAGGACGACGCTGCCTCGCGGGACGTGTGGCGCCCTATGTTGCTGAGCGAGCTGAGTCTATTCGAGAGCGAGTACAATGCGGTCATGTACGGCGGAGAGCCCTCCTCAATGGTGGGCTAACAGGGCGGGTCGCTTCTCCTCACCGAGCCGAGCCATGATTGTAGCACGGACGGATTGGCGGCTTGAGAAACCCACCCACGACAGAGAGCAGAGAGCGGCTGGGGACTACGCTATGTCATAGAGATTCTCCAAAGTCTCTGAAACTTGAGCGATAAGCAAAAGCTCCTCCGCTTGGGCAACGCACAATATGCAATTAAGTATGAGCCCAACGGGTTAACATTTTCCGTCGCTGGCCCCCGCCTTGTGGGCTCTTGCTTGGCCGTTTGCCGCGGACCCTACCCTGGACTGCCATCAGCCGGTGCATCTAGGGAACCCGGCAGCAGCTTGAACGACTGTCGCCCGCGCTGGCTCTCCTCCGTTACCCGCACATGCCCGCAGGCCAAAAGCACGTTCCGGCGTGTGGTCCCCGCGGGCACCTTCGCTTCCAGCTCCTTTGCACAGGCGTTCTTCCGCAGCAAGGCCTGCTTCCGATACGACAAGAGCACATGCTTCCCGCCGGGACATGTGTACTATGAGGTAGGTACGCGCTTGTTCGAGGGACAGCCCTTGGAAGGAGGGCTCCGCGCACTGCGTGCGTGGAGATGAAACTAGGTATCATGACCACCGGCATGTGGGACGCCTTGGGTGTGCAATCTGCACGAGGGAAACGAAAGTTTGTTGGCGTGTAAAGTGTGCACATCGAGTGCCTTTGCCCAGGTCACTGGAACTGCTTCTCGGCAATTGCGACCCGGCTACTTGCTTGTCCATTCATTGCTCCTCCATTCACTCCCTCTCCCGCAGGTGACCCACAATGGTTTGGATGTCATGGTCAGGAGGATGTTGTCGGAGATGAAGCTGTTGGCGGAGGATGCAGATCAGGACGTGGCGTATAACAGCTCTAGGTAGCTGAGGGAAAAAGGGGGGAAATCAGGCAGTATTGCAACCCGTAGATGGGGACTTGGGAGCTGGCCTTAGGCAAACCTTGCCTATCATCTCACGTCCGTATGTGCATACTATTACACGACTCAACATCTACTAGTGCTGCTGCCTTTACTCATGGCCAGTAAACTAGCACAGCTTGCCCTTCCTCGACGTATGCATTTCAGCCGCAAAGTCACACGTGCTCTACGAAAGCGCGCGTCCCCCCATCACGTGCACATACCTGTCGTCATACTCACCCAAACACAGGTGTGCTTACCACACCTACTGTATGCACATCTATCTAACCTGAGCAGGTACACCTTCATGGCGGTGGTTGGGGCCAATGACTTGTACGAAGGGCTACAGCAAGCGGCAGAACTGTTCGTGGACTATTCAATCTCGCGATATGTTGAAGTCTCCATCCTGCACACGGTGCGTACTCGCGCGCATAGGGAAGTCAGTAGATCTCCGTGAAATAATGCACACTTGTGCTCCATCTGTAGCAGCCTGCCGCATTGGTTGGCGGTTCTGATAGTGTGCTGCATTTGCTGCCTTTGCTGTCGCCCAACACTGATTAGTCTCGGAACGGATCTCTCACGATTTGTCCGCCGCATATCCCGCCCGTCTGTGCAATTTCGTCTGTGCTTACCTGGTGTGTTCGTAGGCGCTTCTCTGCATCTCAGTGGCGCTGGTGTTAGGCTTTTTCGTGTTTGTGTTGTGGCCCCACATACGGCTGTTGCTGCGGGATGCGGCCCGTCTGGGCGCCCTGCTGAGCATGGTCCCGCCAGAAATGGATGTGCGCGCACACGTGCGAGGGGTACTGCGTAGGGCGACGGGACGCGCACTCAGGCAAACGTTGGCAGCAGCTGCGACAGCGGCCACAACACCACTGGCAACATCGGCAGGCGCATCCTCGGGTGTTGACAAGTCGGCTACTACGGGAAGGTCAGATTCATAAGCTGCCCGTACGGCAAATGTCACCGTTGGCGGATTCTGGGCAGCTTATCCAAAGGAGCCCTGTTTGTTCCTGCATGACGAGGGAAAATGAATCTGGCGAATGTTTTCCCCAAATATTGCCTTACGGGAGGAGCGCGCGTCGTTGCTCTGTCGCAAGATTGTTGGCTGTATTATTTCTTATTATGTGTTCAATGTTTCGTGAGCAGGTTTATTAGGGCTATTCGTCCTAATGTGCATGTCCAAGCACGTGCCGGATGTGTACGCGAGGTGGCGTATCGTTGTGTATACCAGTGGTCATAGCGAGCGTGGGACTTGGGTTTTCACGCTGAATGTTCATTCTCTCTACTGATTGGTCCATTGCCTTTTTCCCCTCTTATGTATTTATGTTGTATAAGCTGATGATGGAATCTGGAACATGAGATATTACTGTCCAACGATAGGTCATGCTCCATGTATATACATAATATATATAGGTGCCCAAATGGCGCTGCGAATCAATCGCATCGATTGATTGCTATGGTTGGAGTTCGCCCATTGCACGCCAATATTGCCTACAGGTCTTTCCCACAACAGCGCTGGCTCGGCAGCGTTCAGGGAAGGGAATGACCTGATGCTATGTCTTGGTTAATTCCGCCACATTACGACTGATTGTAGCAGCATGGCTGGGCCCCGCAGCCGGGGCTATGGTTTCTATGTATAACAGCGGACATGAAGGGCAAATCGGTGTATATTTCTTTATATGCGGTTGGTGGCTTGAACGTTTACATACGCGTGTATGTAGGTCATGGCGGGTTGGTTCTCAACTGCCTCTCTATGATGCCACAGGCCCGCCGGGCAAGTTGCGGCGGTCAATTACCCGCACATGCAAAAGTGGCTGGCGGACTGCTGTGTGTGCGTAGACTTGCATACGAAATATTTCGAATTGACTGCTACCTCAGGGACGACATATATACCGTTTTGCCTGGCACGACAAGTAAAGATGCTTGGATGGACACGAGGATTTAAATTGTAGACTCTTCCAAGTCGGTGCGAGCCGATGGGCACCTGAACTGGGTTTTTTCATATTACTCGTAAGGAGATGTTTTCGCAAGCTAACGGCCAATCGTAAAACTGCTTTTCGGGGTATTTGGCTATTTGGGCTGCCATTAAGGTGGCTCATGCGCGTGTGCATGTGAGGCTGTGGACTCTCTGATGATGTGGAGATCGTTCAGATGGCTAACTAGTTGCCAAAAGACGTCGTCATCTGAAGCTGAATGAACCGCAATCAACAACGTAAGTTGTCGATGCCGGAAGCAGCGTTTGGACATAGTTTTGTTCGACGGAGATTGATCGAACGTATTGGCTGCATCCATTACGAGGTCTAGGTATGCACTTCTATTTTCAACCTTGCCGAATGGCAATTCATTTCCTAAGACTTCTCCTTGCGGCCCTCCAAATGGGCCTCCTTCAACCCCAGCCAGGGTTTCGGCCTTTGGTCGCTGGTTACGTTCGGCGGGTACGGAACAACATGCGTGAAGGGTGAATGGACGACCTCCCTTGGGCTAATGGTCCTTGGGGTGGTAATGCGAGCGCCTTTTTAGTGCAATAAACTTTCGGTTGATATAAAGGTCCTGTTGCGTGGCAGGACGGCTCGAAGTCCCGCGTCGATGGGATGTGATTCATCGTGCGTGCTGACTAAGGGCTTCGAGGCTTGTGGCATCTGGCATGCAGGTACATGCACGATCTCGGAGAGATGTATTTCGCATTTCGAAGCATGAAATAATGTTTGGAAAGGGCTCGACGATTTGACAGTCGCATATTTCAGTGGTACACGCATCCAAACTTGGGCACCCAGCCCAGGTGCGAGGTCGGCTGCTGTACCCGTCCGCAACAGGATGCACAACATCGCATTTCCATAACGTCATTCTTTATGTTATGGCGACTCTCCGCCTGCTTGATGTTTTATACCTCGGTAGCACTCGTGGCACTGCGGCGATAGGAATTAGCTAATGCCGTGCCGTGCAACTGACGTGGAATGATTACGAAACGTTGTCATCCGGGCTCATGTTAACAGCTCCAAAATCGTACGGACGTATTATAGCACGAGTTGATACCACTTACGGTCCGTACTGGTCATACACCCTTTAATTATGAAGTTGGAAGTGTCGTACGCAACTGGCATATCTCAGTCTCACATACCGTTGGAAACGGCTCCCGGCAGCGCCAGATCGGTCTGCAGAATTGTTTCCGACATGTCTCGGGTCACATAGTCAAGAAGCTAATGTCTTCACGCGTGATGCTTCGTTGATTTTCTAGGCTGCTAAGCGATGCAGCTGGCATTCATAGTCCTCAAACTGGCGGCAGGTTAATATGTTTGTCACAGGACTTACAAAGTACGCTAGTAGCGCGTACAGCACCAGTGATGCAATGATCTTACAAGCTTAGGCCCAAAGGTCCCTGAGGCCCGCGGACCGTAAAGAAATCAGCCAGAAAAAGGCTGCATCATTAACAAGCAAAATGGTCGAAGGTGAAAAGCCAGCCGATAGAATTTGACCGCACATTTGACCGCACGGTTGGCCGCAACTCCGCCGCCAACTTACGTGCTGTGTGGCGTACACCTAGCGGAAGGAACGGGCCCCAAAGGACGGCATATATGAATTAAGTTGATGATGAACAAGGAAAGCTCCGCCCCGCTCTGAAGGATACAAAACACGAATCTATCGAATCACACATCGCTTTTTCCGTACCGTAAGCTCCATCATAACCACTACCACCGCTATCACCACACCCAAGCTGCTTCTGATGACTGCAATGCGCATGCCATCCAGGAATACGCAGGATCCACTCCACCCTTTTTGACACCCCCAGACGATGACAGTATCTACCAACATAACTCGCTCCTTCTCTTGGTCCTCCAATCCTTACTACAGATACACACACATACATGCACACACTGACATACATGCAACATGCCATCTTGTCCCCTCTTCAACTGCATTCTGCCAGCCAATTAGTCACGCTGAAACGAGAAAAGATATGCAGCTGCAGGCCCGGCACGGACATGCCCGTCACAGCCCTTCTCCATCCGGACGGAGCATCCTCACGAGGCGTGAGGAAAAGCATACTGCTCAACTGGACGCATTCCCGAGCCAGCGTGTTGAAAAGATACTCAACCACAAGCCCGGGCGAAACCGGCGTAGCACGCACTTTACATCACCCAGCCAGCTGTACTTACTCATCCGCGTTCGACACCACTGAGGACTTGCTCCCTTCATGAATGTTAATCACGAGCCAAAGATGTCACGTGCGCGCATCTAATCCCAGGACGATACGCCTGCTGGCGGTGTGTAAGCCTCAGACCGGCGGACAAATCTGGGCTGGGCGATCTGCACTGAAAAGCCCGGGAAGGCTGCGGCGGTTGGTGCACCTGCAGCTCCACCCCCGGGTGCAGTGGACAGCGCCGCGAAGAGCGCGGCCAGCTCCGAGCGCAGATCACCCGAGGGGTCGGACTGTGGGAGATAAGAGTACAGATGCGGGGGAGGTATGGGGAGCGCATAGCTGTACTGGTCTGTGTCTGCAGGCACGCAGGTGCATGACGCAGGCAGGTATGGGATTGCTCGCTCTCGCACCTATTACAGCAAGTGCGCGAGGCAGCGCATCAAATCAGTTTTCTGTCGGGGTTTGGGCTTTTTTCTAGCAGAAACATCAGCGTCCATGCAGATGCAACTCACCGCCTTCTGCTGGAAGACCCGGGCCTCCGCTGCACTTGGGCCCAGCTGCACTCGGGCGAGTACGGCGTTGCGCTGAAGGGAAGTACTGTTGCCGGTATCGCCCTTCCCAGTCACACAGCGGACCGCCACCCTGGACGCGTCATCGACTGACCAAAGTGGGGATGAGTGGGGCTCAGGTAAAGGGGATATGCGGATGGAGGATTCTAAGTAACAACGGGTGTCTGCACAGCGAGCGAGGCAAATGTAAACGGTAGGTTGAGGAATAGGAAGGTATCAGCAAGAGGTTAACAGAACAGAGGTAAGGAAAAAGGTTGTGTCTTAACGTGTCTGTGTGTCGCCGCTAGCCAAGTGCCTTATCGCATGTCCCCCTAGTGTACCCCAACGACTGCTGCCACAAGGCCCAGGTTCTTTCGCAACGGCTCCTGATAACGCAAGCGGACATTCCAGATGCGTTGCAGACTATGAAACTAGATCTTGCAAATCTGCATGAACAAAAGCTCTTGGTATCTTCACTAGGCCCTGCACATGCCGCCGCCGCCGCTGCCGCCCTCCAGGCTCGCGACCTCCGGCATGTAGAACGGGTTGCGGCCACCCAACCCGTTCTACCCCACCCCGCTCAGCGTTGAGCGCTCATCCGCCCACCTGCGCCACTCAGCCGCACTAGCATGTTATCCACCCGAGCACACACGTACGCGTCCAGGCGGGCCGCGTCGGCAGGTGATGACACGGCCGCACTCTGGTACGTCACCTGACAACAAACAGTACGACAAACTCGTCAATAATAAGCGTTTGGGAGAATTTCGGCGGAATCAGGGCGTTGATGGCGTGGTTGAGCCATGGAGTATTAAGCTGATAGGTTTTTTGACCAAACAGCTCCCCCCCCCGGCCGTACAGCCATGCACTCACCTGCACCTCCACCACATACGTGTCCATGGATGCACATTTCAGACCTGTGCTGCGGGAGGGGCTGGTGGGGCTTCCTGGCGCTGCTACTGCCGGCAGCGGCCCAATCACGCCGGAGGCACCCCCCAGCCCAAACGACAGCGGGTCGTTCACCTTATCCGTGTCGGACTCGCCTGCCGGGGGCACATGAACAACGGGGAGAGAGGGTTTTGGAGGGAGAGGAGTAGCGAGCAGGGGACGGGAAAGGACGTGAGGACAAAGAAGGGAGGAGCAAACATTCCTCCAAGCTGTATCCCCTGAACTGCACGGCAAGTAAAAAGTTCTTCCCCCCACGTGCACGCCACACAATGGTGCACACTCCCGCCCATCCACGCACCGTAAGGATGCTGCACGGTTGCCGCGATATATGCGAAGCCATTGATATTGCCGTACCAGTACGCTGATGTAGTCTCAGAGCCGTAAGGCGTAGAGAAGATGCGAGTCAAGGCGCGGGTCTCAATGTCGTACGCCCACATGACGTCATTCACGTGTTCTGAGGTGTCTTCTCCGATGACGAGCTGCCGAGGGTTGTTTAGGGCAGTTAGGGATAAGGCCTTGCAGTTAATAATCGGCCGTTGGTAGGAGGGGACACGTTAATGAGGGCGAACGCTGAACAGACGGCGGCACAATGGAGGCAAGAATACAGTCATCGTGGAGGGCGATAAGCCCTCATGCATGCGCCGGCATACTAACCACTTCCTGCTGCCCCTCCGATTGTCAACGGAAAGAGCACCAAGGATCCAACCGGGCCAGGGTCTAAACACGGACCCCTGGAGCTGCCACTGCGATTCCTGGCTATATCTCTCCCCCCGCCGGCCCCGCCATCCATCCATCTAACCTCCGCATCCCAAAGTGGCCAAAGTGAGCACAATCCTTGCACCGTGAAGGGCCCCCGTCCACCTGCAGGGACTTGCAGGGTTCCCCATGCATCGGTTCTCTACGCTGACCGGAAGCCAACCGGCAACCGGCAACCGGCAACCGCCAACCACATCCAGCCCCATCCTACCAAGTCGTGTTCAGGGCTGTAGGCAACGTTGTCTGGATTTGCGATTCGGTCCATGAGGCACCTAAGAGAGGGGAGATGGGGAGGGAACTTCGCAAGGGGACGCCAAATATCCCGAATATGGTTAGCGAAGAAATGGAAGATGGGTTATGTGGTGGGGCGACACTACCTTCTCATGCAGCATGCGCAAACCTGCCCAAAACCCCCAGGACCCCCCACATATTCGCAGACACACACAGCCATACATATATATACACGAACGACGGGATCCTGAGATCCACCGATCTGTTCTTTTCCATACCTACATACACATCACGGACACACGCACGCACACACCTGTTCCCAGCCACGTAGCCCGGGGCAGCGGGGTTAGTGGCGGGTGTACCGCACACGAGCTCCTCCATCCAATAGGCACTGAAGGAACCGTCCAAGGATAGCGAGTACACGCAGCCGCATCGGTTGTACTGGTGGGAGGGGAGGGGAGGGGGTTTGCAGGTGGCGATGTTAATTGGCATACTTGGGAGCTAAGCCATGCGAAGCGAGGTGAGACAGGGTTGAATGGGGTTTGAAGTAATCCCCATCGTGAACATATGGCCCGGAAGGGTCCTTACTGCCCCGAGGAAAGGCTGAGGCGGGTGCGTGGAGAGAGCTGCTGGTGCCCTCATGCGTGTATGGCTGTGTCTGGGCATCTGCCTGTGCGTGATGTGCCTTGAGCCGTGTGATGTGGGTCATGGGGGAATGAGAATTGAGTAGCAACATTAACTGAATCACGTATGTACGGTGTTGTCACTGAGCGGATGGAGCAGGGGGGAGGTGGGCGAGCCGAAATATACGCCGCCAGTGCCCATCGTCAGGCCCGGTCAGATGATGTATTAAGGCACAAAAGCATTCACACAAGAACACACCTCGAGGCGGACGTCGTTGCTGCCGCACATGTCGAATTTGCTGCTGCTGGCCCCGCGGTCCTTGAAGTCCTCCATGCCTTGGCGTACCTGTCGTACCGCACCAGAAAATATACCAGAAAATCTATGAAAGCGGTATGTAATTAGCCTAACGCCCCCAGCTCCTGGTTTATCATCCAATCAAATTCCTTAATGCTGCATGGCTTTGGTGGATTAAATGAAAGACTTCGAATGGCGTGCAGGAACATGGAAAGAAGGGGTGGGTGATGGGATCTGGTCAGTTACGCCGTTGCGTGCACCTGCAAGTCCCTTGCAAGTACGGCACTCTGGAAATAGTGCAGCAACTCGTTGCCACCTGAGCTGCTTCCGTCTTCTCAGCCATGACGGATAATCGGCATGACTCTTCCCTGTCCCTCTTGGCCCCCTTCCCATGCTTGTCAGGTGCTTGTGAGGTGTGCCAAGCACGCCTCACGCAACCCCCACCAACCCCTCCACCCAAATTTGGAAACTCACATCCGTAATTGATGTGTAGATCTTCCTCCTGGCGGCATCTAGGGTGATTCCCTCCCACTTGGACCACTCCGTGGTGGCACCCAGGTAGGCGGCGTATCTGGTATCAGGAAGGGGAGGGAGGGAAGGAGGGGCAGGGAGGGAGGGAGGGGCAGGGAGGCGCAGGGAGGGGCAGGGAAGGGGAGGGAGGGGCAGGGAGGGGCAGGGAAGGGGAGGGAGGGGCAGGGAGGCGCAGGGAGGGGCAGGGAAGGGGAGGGAGGGGCAGGGAGGGGCAGGGAAGGGGAGGGAGGGGCAGGGAGGGGGGGGAGGGAGGGAGGGAAGGAAAGCAGCAGACGTATGAGGGGTTTCCGTGGAAGAGGGGCACGTACACGTACACGTACACGGCAGGGAGGGAAGCAGTACATGGAGAGCGAGGTGGCGGAGGGAAGGAACCTATGCGCGGCACTAACCCTGGAGGGTGGGGGTGGAAGTAAGGACGAACACAGCAGCACGTCACTCATGCCACTCCCCCCCAAGTGGCCCGCCAGTCGTTATCATCCTTCGCTGTTCCCGCTGTTTCCCCCACGTGCAACACATAACGCACGCAGTCACGCACATACATACACACACACACCTGCGCGTCTCAAAGAACGCCGCGAAGACCTCGCTCCCGGGCCGCAGGCGGAGGCACTCGCACCCCCGTCCGCCCGCGTTGATGGCTCTGAAACCCGGGGTAAGGCAGCTGCCGTTGGCTGGCAGCTCCGCGTCGAATACGTCAGGGAACTGGACAACACTGGCGGCTGCTACCAGTTGGTCCTGAAGCAAGGAATGGGGAGAGGACAGGAGGGGAAGGTCAGGGGTGCGGTGCTGAGGGGGGAAATAGGGGTGAGGGGTGAAGAGTGCGTGTGGCGAGGGGCAGGTTTTCGGGAGGATGTGAATGGAAAGCCTAGAGGAGGGGGCATGGATGTAACGACTGCGGGTTGGAAGAGCGGTGCATTTGCCGTACCTGTGTGCCGTACGCCAGCCAGATCCAGCTGATTCGGAAAGTGCCGCCGCCGCTGCCGCTGATCTGCAGGTTGAGTGAGAGTTTCACGAGGGAAAAGGAGTGGGGCTTTGTGCGTGGAGGAGTGAGGGCAATAAAGGTATGGAATTAAGGGACAGAGGGAATGTGTTTGTGTGTGTGTGGAGATGGGTCCTTTTCCTGCCGTGTACGGGAACTCGGGATTGCCCAACTGATACCCGCACGATATTGCCGTACAGCACGTTAAGGCCCGTTACCTCCGACTGAACCGCGGATGCTTGTGAGCGCCGCTTCTTCTCCCCGCGTGCTCCTGCTTCCCCCGTTTGGGAGTGGAGTTTATGACACACACGGCAGGGGCCGCCGTCGGGTTTCGTTGCAAAAGATATACATATATACCGACGCACCTGTGTCGCCTTGGCTGCGTACAGGTTGCCGGCGGTTAAGTCCCCTGGCCGGTCCGCAACAAATTTGAAGAAGCCAACCTGCAGCAGGTGGTGCGTATGCACAGTGCGGAATGATTGCAGTTGCGCTATATGTGAATGGGAAACAGCGCTGGGCCGTGTGTGTGTGCGTGTGTGTGTGCGTGTGTGAGCGTGTGTGTGTGTGCGTGTGTGTGTGTACAGAAATGCGTGTTCGAAGGGACTAAGAGTATGTACTCGTGAATGCGCGTTCACAGATTCAAACACCGCATACCCCAGTGTACATGGGGTATGCGGGTGCATGCAGGCAGGTTTGGGGGGGGGCCCAGCGAAGCAGGTGGCTGAGGGAAGGTCCCAATCATTAGCCATAACTAGGAAGGGGGGAGTGTGCCGTGTCATACAGATGTGTGCAGCAGTCGCAGAGGTATTTGCACGCACTGCTGTATAGAGTGAGGCTCAATGTACGACGTACGTTGGATCCATCATCCGTGATGTACACCGTACGTTTGTCGGGCATGACAAGACCCAGCTCCGTTGCCACGCGACCGAGAGTGTAGTGCTTCTGTACGACAGCCGAGTTGTCGTACTGAATCTGCGTGGTCATTAGGAACCGGAACACTCAGGGGAGGTTAGCTGCACAGGGACAGCGCGGGAAGTCCCCAGGTAAAGGTTTCGCGGGGCCTCGATCGATTGGGCGAGTGGTTGAAGTTGATGTGACCATGATTGCGACCATGGCTCGGTCTTGCTGGTCCCGCAGTGACGTGTGCGCACTTGGCCACCTTCACCGTCCTGGGATGCCTACCCCCATTAGCAAGCCCGAGGTGGAGCGCCATAACTGCAGCCATCTTAAGGCCAATAATTCCGCCTCTACCAGCCGTTGCCCCCCCTTCCGGCAATCCTCCTCCCATCACGAATTCCCGTACCCGTCACAAAGGGTCCCTCCATCCACATACAGAGTCGTGAAACCCTTCCCATTAAGCAGCTCAACTCCCTGATTAATGGAAGCGCTTCGATTGGAAAGCCAAGGCGTCCGCGACCCGTGGCCGCTGTGCCGGGCGCACACCCCCGCGCACCCCTACGAAGAAGACCCCAAGGCCCTAAGTCCCCGAGCTCCGTCCTAGGGCGCAGGACCAGGGCGGCCCTACGACCCGGCCAGGCCCGGCCTCGCCGCACACTGCGTGCGCACCTTCGCCTCAGTGATGTAGCCATAGAGGTACGGCTTCACGGCCGCCTTGAACTCCGTAAGGTTCATTTCACCATAGTACAGGTCGTACAGGCGACCCATCTTGAGCGCGTTGCCGCCGTCGTACCTGAAAGCAAGTGAGGGTGGTAGGTGGTGTTAGGGAGTGAAGGAGCTTGACGCCCGGACCCCCCCGACCTCCGGACGGTTGTAACGCTCACGTGAATTGCGCCGCGGTGGGACCTCCTCCGATGTCCTCCACGGTCTTGGCGTTGGCGAAGGCTCGCGCATCCGGCTCGTACTCCTCACTCCCCAGACGGGTACCCCAGGGGGTGATGGAACCTGAGATAGGAAAGGGAGATGGAGGGGAGTGGGCCCGGGTTTAAAAAGGGGTTGCGTCCGGAGCGGAGGTCAGCGAGGACTGGGAAGGTTCGGGCCGAAGGAAGAGCACTCGTCGGATTGGAACGTGCAAACCTATCCCGCCCTCGTCTCACCCACCACCCCCGTTCCGAAAGCTCTTGTCAACTACCCCATCATTTCCGCGCTCTCGGATTGTTGACATTATATGCCTGCCGAGCGCCTTACTGCACACACCATCACCGCTGTCCATCCCTTACTGCACACACCATCACCGCTGCCGCACACCACCCACCTGCGCACGGTGTCAGCAGCCCACCCCAGGCCGACCAGTCCACAAATGCCGCGTCAGAGGTGGCACTCAGCCGTCCAGTGGTGGGCTCCTGCGCCAGGACCTGGGTGTACATAGCAGCTAGGAAAGGCGGCGGAGGGACGGAAGGGGTGTAAGAATATGCACGGGATGCAAGAGGACGAGGGTCGGGAACAGGGAGCGCGGATGATTTGGTCGAGGGAGAAACGGAGGGATGGGAAATGGGGATGAGGATGGGGAGACACTCCCAGGTGCGGCAATGCCTGAATGATTTTGGTCAATATGTTTGCCTTCGTTTTGCCTAGCTAGCTGAGTAGCCAGCAGGCCATGTGTCCCTGCACTCCACCTACCGGGGTTGGCGTACTCGAAATGGGTGCTGAAGAAGGTCTTGTCGCACACAGCGGTCAGGGAAGAGAAGTCGGGGGAGTTGGATATCTCGGACTGCACGGCAGGCAAGGAATGCATGGCCGGGTTTAGTAAGAATACCTTGCTCCTCGTCCGATAGGGGAGACTCGGCGGGTGGGAGTGGACGGGGGAGCAGGACAGGAGGGTACATCGCACTTCCCGGCTATTTGCCTATATCACCCCGGCCTCTCACGCTCAATCACATGGCCAAAACGTCAGGTGAAATGGCATTTTGATGTATGGCACGTGCACGGCTCTTCTGGATCCCTGACCTTGTTCCGGAGCAGCTGCCAGTTGGATGTGATGGTGGCCACGGGTTGCAGAGCGGAGTTCAGGTTGGCGCCCCACACTGTATCGCCGAACCGCTGACCCGACCTGGCCAGAATGGTGTAGGAGGCGGGCTGGGGGCGGAAGAAAGGGTTGGCAAGCAGTCAAGTGGGCAGGTGGGTTGATGTAGGCTGCGGGTTAAGTTCAAAATTGCTGGGCTGCGGAGTCCTTAGGCAGCCCATGATCTGGGGGATCTAAGATGATTTTTGTGGGGGTCGTATTGTTCCCATTACACACTTCCTCAGGAGTCATCAGGGCGGGGTTCAGTGCACTTCAGACGGGGAGGGGCCAGGAGACCGGCCTGCGGCAGCGGGCGACGACAACAGCCGATGCGGCGGCGGAGCAGTATCAGCTAGAGAAGCCGCTTCGCGTTATCGACCTTTCCACATCAAAATCCCTTTTCCTCCCATTTCCCGTCAACTCCCATCCGTGCCTCTCCGCCCTTCCCTAAAGCCTCTCATCATGTCCACTATACCTGCACCGCATCCGCTGCAAACACCCACCACGTATTTGCCAATGACGGCCTTGGCGGAAGATGTGACCACCAGCTTGGAAGTCGTCTCCACCGGGGCGGGAATGGCCTGCAGCCCAAGGGCTTCCCCCTTCCCCAGGCGGAAGGGACCGAAGTAGCCCACATAGCCGCCCCTGCCAGGGTCGCCTAGCAATGCACCCCCGGAAGCCGAAGGGGAAAATCCGAGTGCGAGCGCAGGAACGGTATGGAGGGAATTGGGTTTAGGACGCCGGGGCTTGAAGCGGAGTGGCCGGCCGGGACAGAACATGGTACATGGCAGCATGGTAGCAGGGGTTCTAGAAGCTACCACCTGACCCCCTTTCTTAAGCCGGTGGCAGTTCAGTACTGAGGTAAATACTGGAATGATCAACCACTGGATCTGTACTCCATTCAGGACCCAACCCACACCGCCATCCCGGTGGGGGCCACATACACACGCACACACTGCCAACCCACCGGCTGACCCCGCCATCACGCCGGACGCATCCGGATGCTGAATATTGCTCCAGATGTACGACAGGCCGTTGGGCAGTGTGAAGAAGCCGATTCCGGTCACCTCCGCGCCCACAGGTGCGGCCAAGACACGTGTCATGTCTCCGGAGCTCACATCCAGGGCCCACAGAAAGTTGTTGTCGTGGTAATCAGTGTCTTCCGCAATTAGGAGCAGGTCCAAACCCGGCACGTAGGCCACGTTGTCGGGGGAGGCGATGCGGTCAAGGTGGCAGGTGTTGTTATAGGTAAGGCCCTGCGGTGCGAGGGTGTGAGGGTGCGTAGAAGGGGAAAGGATGTGCGTGCTTAAGGATGTGGTGAATCTTGGGGATTGTCTCAACTTAAGAATCAGCCTAGTATTCCGGACCGTCCTGAATAACGGTCCGTCGTCTTCCCCACCAGTCCCCATATCTCTGCCTCAGCCGTCCCTAGCGCTTTACGTAACATGCCATTCCTCCAAGTAACGTTATGGTTGCAGCTACACACTCGGACACAAGGAACTGCGACGGGAAGGCACCTACCGGCGTGCCGCCTACATCAGGCATGCCACATGTGAGGCCGTACATGTAGGTAGCGCTGTACGACGAATCCAAGTCCAAGGAGTACACGCAACCGCACCTGGAAATAGGCGGGAGAAAGAAGGAAGAAAGGGTTCTTCACCAGGACGAGCTGCACGACACCAACCTGTAGAGATCCGTATGTATGTACAGATACAGCACACCTCTCATCCTAAAAACCCGTATACCCTTTTTGCCAATCTGCCGTACTGTCGCTACGTGGTTGCCCGTACAAGGCGGCTCGCAAGGCCCTTAACGGCTGCCGCACAATCCTAGGAACGTAGAGAGGAGGATGGCTGGTGGGACATTTCATCCTACGTAACCGGGGCGACCTATCATACGGAGTGTTCGCACGCATGCTGTACGTACTTGTTGGAGGGCAGCCGTACATCATCTTGTCCACCAAAGCGTGTGGGCTCCGGCAGACAGCCCTGAGTGTGTTCAACGTGTAAGAGGGGTTCCCCGCAGGGTATTTAGTCGGTTTGCGCCCAACGGGTTGCGTGGAGTTTTGGATGGGACGGCTCCGGCAGTAATGCATAGATGAAGGTAAAAAGAACAAAGGTCAACTTAGAAGCGTTGTTTTGCAAACTGTCGGTTTGTCACTCCAGATCAGGTTGGGCGCTACCTGAAATATGTATCCGGAGGATGGTGGTGGACGAAGTAGCTAGCACAGCATGTGCGTGTGTCTCTTGAGTGTCTCTTAAGTGCAAACGACAAGAAACAAAACTTCTTTCAGCGTGCGAGTTATTCACAACAACCCCTGCTCATTGCAAGAGGAAGTACGATAGCAAGTGCATGTGGGGAGCTCCGGGTTCCCAAACCCAAATACCCGCGCCTGTCCGGGTTGGTTACCCCTCGCTTACGTCGTTCACATCCGTAATTGATGTATAGATCTTCCTCCTGGTGGCATCTAGGGTGATCCCCTCCCACTTGGACCACTCCGTGGTGGCACCCAGGTAGGCGGCGTATCTGGTATCAGGAAGGGGGGGAGAGGGGCAGTGAGGGGGGGCAAGGAGGCTGACGCGGGTCGGCACGGAGGGAAAGCAGGAGCGGAAGTGGTGTGAGCGATGGTGATGTGGTGGTGATGAAAGAAGGTACAGGCGACTCCCACCTCCCGGCTGCTGGCGGATTCAATCCACTCCCAGCCCCAACCCTACCGCCGCGTCTCGAATGCAGCCGCAAGCTTCTCCGCCCCTGACCGCAGCCGCAGACACTCTTCGCCATATGAGTGTTTCACAGGTCGGAAGCCCGCACCGGCCGCTGCACACGACCCGGCCACGGGGGCAGCGTACTCGAAGATGTCGGAGAAGCGAAGTCCAGGGATGGCGGCAGCCAGGAGGTCCTGTGAGCGCCCATTGGGAAGGGGAAGGGAGTGCTCACGATTCTGTTATGTTGGTTCGGGGACAGGGGGGTTCGGGCGGTATACCGTATGGTTTTCGGGACAGGAGTTCTGGCTGGAAGTGTGGAGGGGCCGTGCTTGTGGGGCAGCTGGACCTAATTTGGCCGAGGAGTAAACCTGGGAGGGAAGAAGAGGCGAGCCTAGCTTAGCTAATTGAGGTGACGGGAGCTCATGCCAGAATTAATTGCACGGAGTGGACAGCAATCCGCATGTTTAATAGGTATTGGTGATAAAGAAAGTCTGACGGGAAGTGGAAGGAATCATCTTTTCCCCGTAGCCTGCCCAGCCGCCCGTGTTACTGCTGAATGAAATTGCAACAGTCGCCGGCGATACGCGCCGTCGTGCTTCACACCCCGAAATCTCACATCCCACGCCTCCGCTTGTGCAACTCAAGTCCCCATCCTCCACCCCCTAACCCTCAACCCCCACTCCAAATTCCCCTCGTACAGCTTTTCTGGAAACCCCAAGCGATCCCTCATATCTCATAGGACCTAAGTAAACCATTCCAGGGTAGGCCTCCGGTTGACTTTTCTCCAACCCCGTGGGGCTGCTTACAGCCTCCCTACCTGGTCTGTACTGCCCAGATCCACCCAGGAGACCTGAGAGAATCCAGATTCAAAACAGGACGGGTCGTGCGGTTTATGTTCATAATGGGTTTTTTGAACTATGGTATGCGACATACAGGATAAAAAAAACAGATCAATGTTGTGCGCACTTATCATCCACATCCACATCGGGTGGGTGGATTGGGATTTGGGGAGGCAGGGAGGCTCACGGCGATTAGAGGTGACGCCGCCCTCCATCCGCTAGATCCTAATGGGTGCCGATTGTGGGGTCTGAACCTGAGTCCAATCCTGAACTCGAAGACGTCCGCTAGGTTGAACGGATTGGGTTACCCCAAGGCTGTCCCGAACACTATACCAATGTTTCCCTGACAAGGCATAGAACTCTTTTAACAGCTCAACGACATACTCACTGTGAAGTTCCCTCCCTTCGTCGCAGAGATCTGGGTGAACTTTGCTGCGTAGAGCCGACCCCGGCGGAAGTCACCTGGCGGCCGTGTTGGCCGTCGGGGTAGGTACGGAAGGAGACAGAGGGGGTAACCGGGTCCGTGAGGCCCATCCAATCCAGCTAGCTCGCAGTGATATCCGAGGGGGCACACAATGGATGCATGATACATGTGGCAGCCGTGGTCGCCAGTAAGCCCAGCCTTTCACTGTATGACACCAGGCCCCCGCCTCTGTTGACTCCTTATAAAAAGCTTTCACATACATACATGTTGTAATGAGTACAACATACATACATGCAAACATACACATACGTGTGCACAAACACGGTGATGGATAGCGAGAGGTTCAAAAACTGGCCGCCTGCCATTTTTGGTAATACATCATCTGCCAACACCGAACCGCCAACCGCACCTGGCCTGGACGCAACGAACTTGAAAAAGCCCACGTTGCGACCATCGTCGGTAATATACACCTGATCATGCAACCAGGTCGCGCAGAAGAGAGCTCGTCGGGCTTACAGTATGGTAAAGTACGGCAACGTGTAAAGGCAGGGGATGGTATGGGAATGCCTTGTATGCAAGACGGGGGCCAATGCTGTCGCCCTCTCGGCCCACAGCCGCTCCGCCTCTCTGGTCTTAGGCCTCGAGCCCGTCTGGCCCCCGCATTACCAGCTTCAGCCACCCACCGTTTTCTTGTCGGGCATCACCAGCGCCGCCTCCACCGACACACGGCCCAGGGAGTACCACTTGCGAGCCACAGGGGTACCCCGGGCCACATCGTACGACACCTCTGTCACAAAGCCGTACCTGCGCCGCACAGTAATCTCAAATCAATTGGGAGTTGGCGCCAATTCTACCTGTTGGTCCCCCTGCGCTATGTCCCCTCCCTCGGCCCCCCTCAGAAGTCATAACCTGGTTTTGGAAAAGACCCACCTTCCCTTCTCCCCAACGTTAATAGGCTAACTCAGCCAATCCATACCCCCAGCCCCACAGCCGTACCTGTAAGGGCTCATGACCTCACGTACTCGTTCCATGAAGGTGGCGCTGCCGTTGAAGTCGCCCTGGTACAGCCCGAAGTAGCGGGCGAATTCACGGACACGGCTACGGTGTGGAGTGGGCGGGGGAGTGGACCGGGGACCAGGGGGGACGCGGGTAAGGGGTGAGGTTAGCCGGGCCGGTGACTGGCCCCAGGTAAGACCTCGTACGGACCCCAGGCCGGGAAAGAGTGGTCGGGCTGAGGAGGATTTCCCGCATCGTTACCCCACAAGGAGCTGTGTGTGTGTCCGTGCGTGTGCGGTCGTGCACCAGCTCAGAACACGAAGTATTTATAAACAGCTTAATGTAGCTTCCGCGGAAAGTAACCTCCACGAACCCTGCACGGCCAGCTTATTTAGGCCACTGCTCATCCTGGTTTTAGGTGGCCGCAGCCGGGCCCCCCTTGTCCAGCGACTCACCTGGCGGATGAGTTGGACGAGTAAAACGTCCGGGCATCCGGCTCATACTCCTCACTACCTAGGTGGGTGCCCCAGGGTGACATGGAGCCTGACGAGGGAGGGGCCAGAGGCCCGGGTGAAACGGGAGGAACAGGTCAATCAGTAGGCGAGACGGCGGGAAAGGCGCCTCACAGCAGCCCCAGCAATGGTACAAGTAGCGGCGACGCAGGTGCTGCCGTCCTAAAGCACCCAGTTGGGACCTTACGTGCCCTCATTGTCTGTGTAATCAGTTCTAGCCGCCCACCTCGCCCTTCATCAGTACGTGGAGCGCCCCCGCTTATTTCTACTGGCTCCGGCATCACTTCTCCAATCCACACCTACTTATGGGAATTCCAGGTACGTGTTCAGCTACACAACAGCCATTGATTAATGCTACCACATGCCGCTAGTGACTACGGAGCTTGCTTCGGTGAAGTTGTTCTCTGGTATACCACCATCGCCGTTTCCCTCCTCGCGACTCCGAAGATGATTAGCACACGCAGCCACTCGCCCACTCGGCCACACGCGCACGCCTCACCTGCACACGGTGTCCACACTCCCCCCCACGCGGAGAAGTCCACGGGTGCCTGGCTCCTCACAGCCAGTTGCCCATCGGGGCCCACATCCAGCTCCAGGTGATACACGGAGGCCGGATTGGGGGACTCGAAGTGGACAAACAAATCGGCCTGCGTGCGGGACGTCCGGTGGACAGGAGGTCGAAGAAATGAGGGCAAGGCGAGGGGCTGAGCGGAGTGCAGCGGAGGTTGTTAGAAAGGGACATAAGCAGCGGCCGCAAGTGTGCGAGCAGTGGGGCGAGCAGTGGGGATAGCTCGAGGCGACTTCGGGTTGTGTTTTGAGCAACCGGGGAGGCTTGGAGGCAAGGGGTTAGGACGCCGAGTCGGTCCTTTGCGTACGTAAGGTAAAAATAGGGAGTTGCGGTTGCGTAAAATAGGGAGTGCACTCTCGTATATTCCCAAGCAGCCGATATACCCTTTTGTTGATATGAAATGTAATTCACGACGACGACAAACTAATGCATCTTTTGGCGCAATGGTGTGTTCCCAGTAGGTGCCGTATTCCCGAGGGTGTGACGGCCTTCAGGGTTTGACTCTCAGCTGGGACTTACCGACCGGTATCACTACCGTACCGCCGTACCTTACCGACCGGTATGACTACCGTACCGCCGTACCGGTATGACTACCGTACCGCCGTACCGCCGTACCTTGGTGGGATCGCCTTGGCGCGGCAGCAGGGTTGTATAGTCGGGATTGACGGAGGTCTCGGGCTACACAGACCGCACGGGGTCGAGGGGAGGGCGGGGGAAGACATAGAGCCGTTGGGGGAAGGGAAGACGCGTCAGGCAACAGAGGCCCCATTCGCAGTAGTTACAGAGGTACATTGCAGCTGTCATTTCTATCGGAAACCGCGGCGATATAAATTACGAGTTTGCATGAGCGGGAACGACGTTTTAAAAACAGCCCAGTCAGCTTTGAGGACATGGTTGCGAAACCGCGTCGTACCGTGGAGCCCTTGGCGTAGTTTAACGCGAATGACATTACAGGCTGGCCGTTGACGTCCACCACTGCGCCTGGCCCGCCAAGCATCGCGGTGCGTGTGAGCAACTGGAAGCCGCCAACCATTCTGCTTGCGCGGGCGGCCACATTCGGCTTGAGTGTGATGCCGCGCCCCACGATTGCGTGGTGGATCGACATCACCGAGTGCTTTTCCTCCTCGGTAACAGCTGGGGGAATATTAGGAAAGTAAATGGCGGCCTCGACGCACGTGGCAATGAGGACATTCGCAAGCACGAACACGACAATAGGGGTCTGTGCTTTCATATTTCCTCTATCCTTAAAATTCTTGGATGGGAGCTCAGCAAGCTCACTACCGACTCAAGTGATCGCGAAATAAATCGGCCGAGGGCTAGGATTAAGTCAGCGGGAGATCCGCCCGTCGTCGACTCCCTCCATGCAAGCGAACAACCTGGTCATCAATCACTTATACTTCTCAACATTTCATTTGGGCCCTTAGGCGGAACATATGTAGGAAGATTCCGAATGATATTCTGCATTACTGTTACGGAATCATGAACCCTTTCGTTGCAACTGACAGTAACCGTGTTAGGCAGGTTGTGCCCTGTGCGTTGCAATGTATGATAAATGGTTTTGATACATGAATCTTCCCCATATTATCTTTGGCGTCCCCTTGCACTTGTATGTGCTTGGGATTCAAATCCGTCTACTCGATTATTGGACCAATGCGTGATGCGCGCACTCATTCCGCGGCCCGCGATTCTTTTCATTTATCCAGTTAATAATTACTCGCTTTATCTCAGTGATGTATACATTTGTTTATTTGTGAGTGCGATGCGGGCGTGTCGAAGTGCCGGCCGCTTGGCCCACGTGGCACACAGTCTCAGGTTTCTCATAGCCTCTCTTGTTCTTTTAAATTATGTCAGAAAATAAGATGAAGGGAAGATGCTTTTTGATTGGGGGTCGGTCGTGTTAGTCGACCTGTGCACGACATGGCGATTACGGCAATGCTTTCTCTCATGAATCATTCCACACCGATGGCCAGGTTATGAGACAGTTCTATGCTCTTGATGCATATAATCTGGTCATTGTGCGTGTTCTGGAGGGGGGGCAACCAGTATTTCGGCCGGTCATATGGAAGACGCACGCTCGCTACCTTGGCCTGCACTTTGGACCCAGCGCGGCTTTCGGATCTTGTGCGATGGGTTATACTCAGGGGGGCCATCGGGCCATGTTTGCTCTATGCAGAAGATTACGTCGGCAAGGATTGCTACTGCCCTGCGTCGGCATGAAGTGTTTCAATGTGCAAGTACGCTCTATCTTTTCCTACGGCGCCCAGCTGTGGGGTATCGACCAGGTTTTGATGATGCTAGGAAAGGGTTATCCGGCCAATGAAGCGCCGCGTTCGTGCTCCTTTGAGGTGGCGGTATGGTCAAACTACAGATCTGGTTCATGAAACAGCTGGTGGAAGTTTCTTTCTGTACCCCCCCCCCTTCAGCTCCTGTTTAGGGTGCTTGGTCAGATGCCGCTGCAGTTGCATTGGGCCGAATCCGTTTTTCGTTTTTGGAATAGTTGGTGGAGGACACTAGTAGTGTTTACCATAGTGCCTTTCGACAGGAAGTTCGGCTGGCGCTGGCAACGAACTTTCAATGCGATGGAGGGGTTCCAAGGTCATCAGGGTCCTCAACTACTTAGGGCAAGACTGGGTTGAAGGAGTGGTCACAGGTGACATCAATACGAGGGTCAGGCGTTACTCTGCCTGCAAGCTGAATGTTGTGGCGCTACTGGATACCCTCAGGGGCCGTATCAATGGGGAAGTGGCAGGCTAGGTAGACCCAGGGGCCTTCATCTCGGACGGCAATGTGTCCTGGATGGGGCTGCCGAAACATATCGTGGGTTACGTCCCACCGGCACACCACCATGCCTTACTTCGTTTCCGGTTGTGTGTTTCTGAATTGGCGGCTTATAGCGCGAGCAACAGATTTAGGGAGCAACGCGTATGCACGGTTTGCGGCATAGATGGTGTCATCGAAGATGAAAAGCACTTCTTGCTGGAGTGCCCGGCGCTAATGTAGGCATGGCAGAACCTCTGGGACCTAGGAATGCCCATTAGCGCGAGCATCCTTGATATCAGGTCGATGATCAACGTGGGCTCGCGAATGACATGTTTCGCTTATGACACGAGCAAGTTACATCCTAGAACTGACTGGCCATTATAGCAACGTATTTCTTTTTTAGGTTTTATTGATCTTTACTGGTACAGGCGATGGCGAAGCGTGAACTAGACTTTATCTTTTTCTCTTTCTTGCGCGACTGAAAGCCGTCGTTTGAACCGTACGAGCTCGCTGTAGCTTGTAATACCCATCCATCCATGAATTATCTAAGAGTTATTTAACATATGGAACAGTTCAGCAGCCGCAGCAGCTGGGTCGGCAAACTCCTCATTAGATAAATACCGTATTACTGTTGGCTTGCTCACCGGAGATTTGACGAGCCATGAAAGCCTGCATGGGTCGTAGACGAACAAGATATTGACAAGAAGTAACGTCAAGGACGGATAGCGAGACAGACGGTGGTTTCTGCGTTTGGGGTGCGGCGTGACATGCAAGCACGGAAGTGTAGTGTGAATAATAGGAAGATTATGAAGGTAAATCTGTGAACTTGAACTGCGAGCAGGAATGACAGGGCCGAGGATAGCGCGTGCGAATTACGACCAACTGCCGCATGCCGAGCCAAAGAAAGCCAACAAGCCAAGTGAAACCCCGACCAGGCGAGTACGCCAGAGATTCTATTTAAATGTAAGCTGAAAATGAAGAGATTTTAACGAAACCGTTTTTTATCTTCAGAAAGGAATATGAGGATGGATGAGATGGATGAATGGATGGATGCATGTGTCCGGCCCAGACGAACCCGATAGCCTCTGGACCGCCTTAAGATGAAAGGAATATAAAAATGATTTGCGCATCACGTACATGCGCCCCGGTAGATTAAGGAACTTCTCAAAGATAGCGGTATAGCAGCGTTCACTTGTTCCGCCATTTGGGTGCTATTACAGTTTTCTTGTCGACTTTTGTGCCACCGCTGACGCAGTGATGGTGTTCCTGTTATGCCATTGCTGAATACATTCGTTACATACCAGCTCCGGATCCCCACCATTCCTCACATCCTAAGCCCCCAAACCCCGCTCCACCCACCATCACGGCCCCCCATACATAGGCGGTCCGGCTTCTGGAGGTGAACCGCCATCAACCTTCTATGCATCGCAACTTCAGTGCCGACTGCTTTAAGCTTGCCCTGGCATCATTAGGATGCAATCATTGCAAGGGGGACAGGGAACCAACCCACATCACTAGCCGTACATGCTAGCGGTTGACAAAAAGCCAACCTACCCCAGGACACGTACTCCGGGCAAAAAACAAAGGAGCCGTGCATTTCGCAAGTATCAAAAGTCCACAAATACGCCTTTAAACCGGCCGGGACGAGACTCGGTTTACCGCAATGAAATGTAATGGAAAGTGCCTAACCATGCATAAGAAGTGTCTTGTCTACACCTGGTTCGGTGAAGCAACCAGACCTGCCTGCTGAGCTGCTGCTACTGTGCTGGCTGGTGCACGCTGACAGATAACTTTTTTTGTGATAAGACTGCCTATGTATACATCTTATACTAGGGTTTGGTACTACTGGTTACGCGCGACCATTGCCCCCGGGAGATCCCAGGATCGATACCCGTTAGGGTCAATAATCCTTCCGATGGTGGAAGGTATTGCGCCCCTAGTTGATGGACGGTGGTGACCTGGGATAAAGTTAACCTGCGAGCCGACCAGGAATGGAGATGGGCCGCTGTCGACCCGGCAGATTCCGTTGGATGCTGGTGGTGGGTGCGGAACCTGAGCGATCCACTGAGAAGTTGACTAGGGTGACTGGATGAGGGTGCCCCGAAATACCGGGGAAGGCAGGGTTTCGCAGGGTAGCTGCCACGGGTGAAGATACACCCCCCCTGTTTCACACATCTTTAGGCTTGGTTTAACATACGCTGAACAGGGGTAAATTCCAAAACTTGGACGAAGTTCTTCACAAACAAGTTTTAAAATCCAATACTTAGCCATTCATACGCGACTCTTTCGACCCGGCCCAGAAGTAGTCTTAATGAAGAGCTACATGAAGCATGAAGCAAAATTGGCTTTTGTGAAATGCTTGACTCCGCTAGACCTCGCGCTTTAGAGCGTCCTCATCTGGGCTTTACGACATCGCCAGCTTGTAACATCACATAGCCAGGCTTGGTAAGCCGTAGCTCTCCACCTGCTATTCTGACCCTCGTTAGCCAGACATCGTGGAAGATTTGCCAACTTCAGCTGTTTGACTGCTGCCATCGCAACCTTCATAGTCTGATTCACCTGAAACCTGACTGAAACCCTGGATGTTCTATTTGCTGGGCACTCAAAAAAGTATTACAGTAATTTCTAGCACGTTGCCGCTGCTGGACTACTTCCTTGACTAAGGTTGCACGTGTGTCAAGTCCTTAAACCTGGCCCATATCTGCCTATTACCAGCTATTACTACCGACCCTCCCTCCTCACCAAGTGACCCCACCCAAACACCGTGGGGTCTGCTTCTCATTCACCGCCAGCTCTTCCTCCTCTGTTCCTACAATACCTTGCCCTCAATAGTGCATAAGCCCCCTTCTCCGCGCCCCTCCAGTTGCCCCCATATACAATCAAATCAGCTCAAAACGTCCAGCATCATGATCTTCCCATGCTGGACTCCTCCACGGGGCCCAGGTACTGCCGCAACCGTGGTGAGAAGACCTCGTAGATGAGGGTCAGCGGCCGGCCCCCACTCCAGAAGACGTAGTGGCGGCCCCAGAAGGGCCCTGCACAGCCCATTAGCTGCTCCAACGGGGGACTGCAGCCGCAGAACAGCGCGTGGACCTCCCGGTACAGCTCGATGTGACCCTAAAGGACCAAATCGTGGTAGTGGGGGTATTGGTAGGAGTTAGTGGGGGCTCAATCATACCAGGAGTCAAGGGAGTAGCTGCTGGCGTCCAAAACGTAGTGGGGAACGGGGTGGTGATGGTGATCGTGGATGCAAAACAGATGTTTACAAACACCAAAATCCGCCTTCCCCTTCCTCGTGATCAACCCCACCTCGCCCCACCTCATCTGTAACCAATATGTACCCATCAAGCCACCACCACTACCGGCTCTACGAACCATCCATCCACATTCCCCCCACCTGCCGCCCCCAATCCTCATCTATTCCTCTAAAACTATGCATCCTACCCACACACCTGGCTAAGAGACACCCAAATGGGCTTGGATTTATCCCTCAGGTACTCGTCCACAGTGTCCGCATTCCACCAAGAAGACGCATAAACCAGCGGCAACAATGCTGGACCCTGAGCGCCCCGACCGCCCCCATCATTATCACCACCACAACCACCACTGTCATTGCTGTTGCTGCTGGTGATCTGTGCGCTGTTGTCGACGCCGCTGCTGCTGCTCTCGTTGGCGTTGCTGTCCGCGAGGCCACTGGTCACCGGTTGACACCGCAGCAGGACCTGCAGCACCATCCGGCAGCCAGACTGCATCAGTCCATATAGGTCGGCCATGGCGATCTTTTCCTGACTGACTGACGCATATGGCCATAACCACTGCAGCTCCTCAAATGCACCATCGCACCCCTCACGGCACTACTGGTAGGGTCCGCAAGTTTGGACTAAATGCTTTTCCTTGACAGCCTTCCTGTCACCCTAATCACCCCACCACCTAAACTCCGTCCCCCACCTGTCGCTGCACCCTAGGTCCAGGTATCAGCTCCGTGCCCGGGGGCAGTCCCTCCAGGGACCAGCCCACGTTGCGCATGGAGAGACACTCCTGAGATGGGAGAGGAGCGGGAAGTGGGGAGAGGGAGGAATTGAATACGGAGGAGGACACGTTTTTGAACTTCATACGCGCAGATGTGGGGACAAGCCAAGGGGAGATGTCAACGCAATAGAAAAGGGACGGGAGAAGGAGAAAGAAGGGTTCAGGTTGATGCGCAAGGTGGGACAGGGCACGGGGGGGGGGATGTCCGTAAGGTATGTCGGGAAGGCCGATTCCGTTAGTCCAGGTGGGGGTAGGTAGGTAGGGACGGACGAACGAACACGACGGAAACAATCCAAACTGCACAAGTCCCAGGTCTCAAACTAAGAGGAGCCGGCGGTGGTGAAGATGATGAAAACAGCTGTCAAGCGGACGATGAGTGGGCGAGCAAGAAGGTAATCGGGGTTGGGCACGAGAGGGTTCACGACTCGTGCGAGGGGAGTGTCTTCCTCCTGGGGTGTCATCACCCTTCTTACCACAGCGACAGGTGAGCCGCTGAGGAGTTGCAGGTGACGTGTTACGGAGCCATCACTCAGGAGCAATACCTGGACCCAGGGGGGGAGTCGGGCCCGGGGCCAGGGCGGCGACGGAGGGATGTTATGTAAGGTATACGTAAGGAGGCAAACAAAGAAGCCAAAGAGGGCTGAAGGGGTTGCGACGGGGTTCGAGTTCAGGAAGAAGACAGCCGGGTCGGGGGTAAAAGGAGGTTGCAACGGAGTGCTTAGATAACAACCCGTTAGCAGGGCAGCCCGGCCCCTGAACTCCGGACCAGCGGCTGTGTCTCCTTATCACCATCTCCCCTGGTAAACCATTTCCCGTGGGGAGCAATCCCCGTCCCCGGGGCCCCTATCCCACCTTCCACATGGGCGACAGGCCGCTGGGCACGGCGTTGGACTGGGCATCCTCTGCGGAGGCCTGGAAGGAGGTGTGGTAGAAAAAGCGAACGAGGCGGCGGGGTTGGAGTTAGAGTGAGGAATGCACGTCCAAGAACGCGAGGCTGTGCACCTGAAGTGGGGGGTTGGGTGTTCGAGGGTGGCGTGGTAGCGGCGCGAGTGGAGTGGCGGAATGGAATGGGGTGGGGAGGGGTAAGTGGGGCGGCTGGGGCGGTGTTGGGTGGGTTGTGCTGTGGTAGGGTGAGGGAAATCACGTGCCAAAATGCAGCTATGAACTGGGGTGAGGTGGGATGAGTTAAGGCGTATCAAATTCCCGTCAAACGTGCAATGGAGGAGACGAGGAAAGGCGTGCGGATACGTTGGTGGAGTTGTCGCGGTGCTAATCCGGTCCCGGTATTAACCTTTGATTGCGCGCAAACGAACGTGCGGAATCGTGTGGAGAGGATGAGGGTGTGCAGCCAACGCCCTGACGCCTTACGTTGTAGGAGAAGGGGGGCTGCAAAGCCGGCCAGAAGGGTGGGGCCTCATCTGCTGGTGGGCCTGCTGCGTTTGAGGGCCACGTAGTCGTTGTGGAAACGCCGGCGTAGGAGGAAGGTGCCGAGGTATTGGCCCCGGAACCGTCATTATTGTGCGCTGTTGACGCGCCTCCAGGACCAGGAAACGCTCGCATCTGACGGAGGCGATGGGCGCTCCATGCGTTCATTAGGCAAGGTGCTCGCCTTCTGTACGATCCAAAGGATGCGCGTTGTCCCCAGACCCATGGGACAGGCTGAGACTCTTTGCGTGAGCGGGCAAATGCCGCGACCGCTGCGCATTTTGCATGGATGCCCTGCGAGGCCCAGCTGTCGATGGCTGTGCATGGCATGATTGCCCAAGGCAGCCGACAACTACCGCACGCTCATAAGGTCAAACTAAATAATAATTGCTATCAGAATGGTCTGAGTGTAAAAGTCACCGCGACCTTGCGTTCATTTATGATGGATGGCTCACAAGAAGCAAAGGGTAGTGATAAAGTAAGGGGCTGTTGCAGAAGGTTAACTTATACCGTATTATAATGTGCGTGATGTAAGGGACGACCATCAATTGCCCACCTGACGTGTTGTGCATCAACATGCATTACGCGAGTTAACATGAAGCCGTTCACTAGAGAATGTATCCTACAGTTCTATACGTATAACACATGTCTTCGTTCATACATTCGTATCCGTGAGTGTATAACTGAGAACAGAATTTTCATTAGGAGCGATCTTCCCGCTTAACTCCAATTTTGCTGCTTTCTTTGCCGGTCCGCCAAGCCTGTGCAGAATTACTTAAAGGATTTGCTAGGAGAGGTAGTTACCCAGAGAACTGTAATAGTTAAGAGTTCAGCCAAAATGGGTAGGTCCGGAGGCGAGGGCCTGAAGGGATACTACCGCGCGAAGATTGAGGAGCTTGAGCTTCAAGTCAAAGATAAAACACACAATTTGCGGCGATTGGAGGCGCAGCGCAATGAGCTGAACTCACAAGGTTCGCTTACCCGCCGTTTGTGAGGGGACAAATGGCTATGAGGCATATTTTGGGGCTTATTTTGGTCGCTTTGTGTTGTAGTTCGCATGCTAAAGGAGGAGATTCAGCTCCTTCAAGAGCCTGGATCCTATGTGGGCGAGGTCATTAAGGTGCGCAGCGGAGTTTTGTTGTGGGGTTTCATTATGTTATCTGGTTTCTAATTGTTTCCCTGGTTTCGGAGTTACGCTGCACCATGGTGCTGGTCTTCTTCCCCGGTTTGGGCTCTCTCGGAGTTACCTCGGTGTTCAAATGGGGTGCCCTGGAATTGACATGAGGCCACGCCTGCGCGAGTCTTGCGCGAAGGGATCACGTCAGAGCCGGCAGAGATATCTAGGGTTTGTCCGCTTAGCCCGCTGTTGCCCACCTTAGTTTGACATGCACTTCGTAGGGGGTTTGACTGACCGATGGCCTAACATGGCGGCACCATACCACCAACTAGCCCACCCTTTGTGAGGGGTTTCGAGACTTGTGGTTCACCTGCGTTGTCGCTCGCCCCTAGTATATCGTTCCTCGTGCTGGTTGCAAGCCGTTATCAAGGAATTCCTTCGTCCGGTTTGTCCTTCTGCGCAGCTGATGGGCAAGAACAAGGTCCTGGTGAAGGTGCACCCAGAGGGCAAATATGTGGTGGACATTGATAAGGTGAGGGGAAGGCGCTATTAGGTGAGATGCGATTGGTAATGATGCAGAGGGCCTGCCAAATCGATTGCTGCGCCTTGTTATGCCCCGGCAGCTCGTGGTGTTGAGAGTTTTTAAAAAGCAGGGCCACAACGCGCGGAGTCAGGAGCGGCGAGGACGTGTGTGGATATGACGTGGGAGGACGGGCGATGACTTGACTCGTGGTGGCAGGCGTAGCGTCTATTCACACCTTGCGGACAGGGTTCAGGAGGGATTTCAATTCGCAGGAAAGAGAGCTGTGGATTAGGACCTTGTGACGCGGCGTGACGTGGCAACCTTTACTGCTGCACTAACTCAGCACCACTTTCGCGCGCCTCTCACCTTCTTCCTAGCTCTGCGACACCGTTTGTCTGGGAGAAGTGCTTCCTAGGTGGCAAGCATGCCATCCAGCATGGCATGCCCGATTGGGCATAAGGCATAGGCCTTCTTTCTGCGTGCCTGCGGGGTGGCAAAAGTGAATCCAAAAAGCCAGTATCGACCTATAAATAACGTGGCACGTTCCTCCCCCTTTTCCGTGTCTGTCCCACTCGGCAGGACATCTCCATTGACAAGCTCAACCCTGGTGCCCGAGTGGCCCTCCGCAACGACTCCTACACGCTGCACCTGGTGCTGCCCACCAAGGTGGATCCGCTGGTCAGCCTTATGAAGGTTGAGAAGGTGCGTAGTACGTCAGCGACAACCTGCGCATGGAGGGGGATGCGTTTGTTTGGAGATTTACAAGCGGGGAAGGATCGAACGAGTAAAAAGGGGAGAAAGTGGTATGGGTGCGGGCTGGGAAAAGGTGGGGGGTATGCCGAAGGGGGACGCGAAGCGCTGCTTGGGTAGACGCCTCCGTGCGCATTTGCGGTTTGAGGGGCGTGATGTTTGGGCAAGGAGGCGGGAAGCAGGTAGAAGGATACAAGATGCTACAGGAGGCATGCTAGTCCTTGCGATTTTACAGCTTTTTATCCAAGAATGCATAAGTTTCTTTTGGATACTCCGCTGCAGGTCCCCGATTCCACGTACGATATGATTGGTGGCGCTGATCAGCAAATCAAGGAGATTAAGGAGGTGCGATTTTAGAAGGAACGGGCGCAGTACATTGGTGGACGTTGCCGGATGCGGCTCTGGGGTTGGCTTCCCTGTGGCATCAGGCCGTACAAGTCGTTCCCGACGGAATCATTGCCATTGGAAGTTCGGAACCTCGCGGCCCTCCGTTTGGTTACGTCGCCGAGGATACATGCTAGGCTAGTTCGGCATAAGGAGGCTAGCTCGTATGCGGGTCGCGTACCATCACGGCCAGCTGCAGTGACCTTCGCTATGGTTAGCGTAGCTTTGCCAGATCGATGTGCTCCTGCAATTCTTGCCTCATACCTCTCGGCCCTGTTGCACTGAAGGTCATTGAGCTGCCTCTGAAGCATCCGGAACTGTTTGAGAGCCTGGGCATTGCGCAACCGAAGGTGAGGCGCGCTGGACGTCTCGCTTCACGGTTCTGTTCACCTCGCTCAGACAGAATGCGTGGCCGTGACGGGAACAGCAACCGTAGATCTTTCCCGACCTGCTTCATTTGTCTGTCGGGCATCTAGACTGTCACGTTCTATTCGTCCAGCGTTTGTACATGAAATTTGTCTTAATCTGAGGGTTGCGTCGGTTGCTTCATCGCCTCTGTGTCCTTGCTCCTGCCGACGTATTGCAGGGTGTGCTGCTTTACGGACCGCCTGGTACGGGGAAGGTGCGCAGGGGCTGACGGACAGGGACTGAAAAAGGGACAGCAAGACTGTTATGTTTACCTGGCAGCGGGCCGGGCAGAGAAGCGAGCGCCACAGCCCACGTACCTGCATTCGCTACCGCACAGCTGCCCGCCTCCCCCTCGCGTCATGGCGCAACTACGCATTCACACAAGGGCTTCCGTCGCGTCGTATGCCCATTGGATGCATGCCTTCATCTTTGCTCTTCGTGGTCTGCTTGTGGTTACTCTTCATGGCGCCCTCGGCTGTATGCGCACCTCTTTTCTTCCAGACGCTGCTGGCTCGCGCGGTGGCGCACCACACCGATTGCACTTTTATCCGTGTCAGCGGCAGTGAGCTGGTGCAGAAGTACATTGGCGAGGGCAGCCGCATGGTGCGAGAGCTATTCGTCATGGCCAGGTATGGCACGGATGGGTGGGGAAGAGCTACTGTTGTGACATGGGGGCCAAGCGGACTATGGAGAGACCCGGCCACATGGGAGAGGGCTAGATGGCGGGGTTGCGACTTGAATGCAGGATACTGTGATGCGCCATGTCGTGGAGGTGGTCGCTAAACGATTCTATTGGGTTGCCAAGCGGCGCATGCGCTACACCCTGTGTGTGATGAGCCGGTTTATGATGGCGTACTCAGCTCACAGAAGTTTTTTGCGGTGGGGGTGCTTAATGAGCGTATGTTGGACTCTTAACGACGAGGGCTGTATAGTCGTTACTCTTGCCAGGTGCCCGATACGCGGTACTCCATTTTTAGTGCACCCTGTTGTGTCCATTCAGCTCGCACGTCTCCCACTGTCCTTGCAGGGAGCATGCCCCCTCCATCATCTTCATGGACGAGGTGGACTCCATCGGCTCGGCACGTACCGAGAACTCGGGGGGTGGAGGGGACAGCGAGGTACGCTGCTGGCACTGATGCGCTCCAAAGGTGTTTGCGCTGTCATGCGTACCCTGGCCTCTTGTAGGTGCCAGGGAGTGTGACGTGCCCTTTCTGGCATCTCCCCATGTGTTACCGCTTTGCATTCCATCAATCCTTCTGCTGCACATGGGCCTGCGTTTCTTGTCCCCAGGTCCAGCGCACCATGCTCGAGCTGCTCAATCAGCTGGACGGCTTTGAGGCGTCCAACAAGATTAAGGTGAGCCTGATGTGAGGTGATGTGCAAAAGACATGTACATGTACGTGCGTGGCCGAGGCTGCTTGCTGTGTGTTTGGCAAGAAGTTATCTAGACGGACGTTAGGTTGTGTGTAACCTGGAAAGGCCTCTCAGGAAATGTTACAAGTTACAAGTGCCGCACGAGTGCGGGGGGGTCCGTCAAAGCCGGGAGGCCATGGACTATATATATTGAAAGTTTATTACACCGTACAACCGGCGGTGTTTTGGGGTCCTACTAACTAGACCCATCCTCATCCAGTCACCCGACAACCGTAGAGGCAGATCAGCCATCACCACCAACTCAGCATGCGAAACTTAGTCCATCAACTAGACCTCATGTCCACACCTCAGCAGCGATTTGTAAAGGAAATGCGGACTTATTTTCCTTGAAATCCCCACCATCACCAGCACCGTCTGGCGAAACATAATGCTATGTGTTTTACGTTGTCAGGGATGTATATGTACTGTCTTTGCTCGTGCGAGGCTCAAGCGGGGTCAGGGGCTGATGAATCTTGATACCGATCACCATAATTGATCTGAACTATCGTCACCTTTCTGGCCCTCATTGGCATCGCTTGGACATTGCCCTCCCTCGCTGTTCTCTGTAGGTCCTGATGGCCACCAACCGCATCGATATCCTAGACGCTGCCCTGCTGCGCCCGGGTCGCATCGACCGCAAGATTGAGTTCCCCAACCCCAACGAGGCGGCCCGGCTGGACATCCTTAAGTAAGATTCCGTATGGCTTCTCTGTGTCCTTAATCCTCGCGGTTTTTGCGGCCGGCGTGCAATGGATCTGTGGGGGAATTGGCTAGGGGGCGTCAGGACGGCCTGGCACACACCGGAGAATCCTGGAAACTCTTATTATTGCCATTAGGATAGCGTTGATATGCGTTATGCCGGCCTACGGTTGGAATGGTTGAAGCTTACATGCAGGTGAGGCCCTGCCGCAGGGTGGGCTGGAAACCGGAGGCAGTTGGCCGCCGCTAGCCTCATCTCTATTCCTTTTACTGTATACACTATGCTCCCAGGCCGCGCTGGGTAACTGCCGTTGGCTGTCGTAAAGAGTGCGCGCCATGGCGGCCTGAGCTGCACAGCTGGTAGGAGGCATACACGCTGGAGGCTTGAACCTATGTGTTCAAGGGACAGACATAGCAACACGGAGTGCAAAATCCCATCAATGAGCCTCCTCCCGCTCTGCCTTCTGTCGCCTTCGGCGCCCGCCATCCTGACTGCAGGATTCACTCCCGTAAAATGAACCTTACTCGTGGCATCGACCTGAAGAAGATCGCGGACAAGATGTCCAATTGTTCGGGTGCGGAGCTCAAGGCCTGCTGCACAGAGGCGGGCATGTTCGCTTTGCGAGAACGGAGAGTGCACGTAACGCAGGAGGACTTCGAGATGGCCGTAGGAAAGGTAAGTGCAGAGGAGGCATACGTCCGAAAAGAATAGTGGGCGAAATCGTCTAGAAGTAAAAGCCGGGTAAAGCAACGCTGCTTATGTGTATTAGCGGCCAGAGCGAGCGGCAGTCTAGGACTGGATGGTCTGGTAGGTAGGTTCTGGGGTCAAGGGGTTTGGGGGGTCTGAACGGTATTTGATGGGGAAGAGGCAAACTAGTTGGAGGTAGAGGGGAGAACTGTCGGCGGGTGGAGCGTGTGTGTGGTTTCCGCACAAGAGTGAGGGGGCATGGAGTAAGTAAGATGATTGGTCGCGCCACGGTAAATTTCGAGTTCGGGAGCTGTGAGACCGACAGACAGAACCTTATGGGCCCTGCTGACCGGTTTTTCTTGTGTAATTATTGCTTTTCCCGCAGGTTATGAAGAAGGACTCAGACAAGAACATGTCCATCAGGAAGTTGTGGAAATGAGGACGAAAGCATGTAAACACCTCCTTCAAGATACGAAACGCATGCAAGTGGTGCAAGGCAATGACAGAGCGGAATGGCGTGGAAACAAGGGCACGGGAGGACTTGGCGGGTTGAAACGGTGTTGGTATGCTCCCTGCAAATATATGTCGGAAATGGCCCCGGCCCTTGGCGATTGTGCACCGATTCAAGCGTGTCCGCGAGGAATGCTGATTGCTGGCTGATGAGGAGCGTTCCTTTGCTGATGATGAGCATTCTGGTCATATAGGGGGCGGGCATTTGCAGCCAAGAGGCGGTGAACAGAAGCTTCATACTTTCGTGGTACTTGCAGCCGTGAGAAATCTTTTCGGTTGGGGTTGCAAACCCGTGTGCCTGCATTATGCCGCCAATGGTGGGGAAGGAGGAGATTAATTTGCGGCTGACACGACGGCTTTCGTCGCAGGCCACAGCTACGTTTTCCGTTATGGCAACCTTTGGCAACTCGAGGTCGCCAAGTTATGTGGCAGGGACAGAACGCTTACTTAACGGCTGCGCAAGGTTACGCACGCACTTGTAAATGTTGTATTCTTGGCCCGGTTTCTCTCTTGCACACCTGGTTTACAGTCGTCCACGGCATGGTGCAGTGAGAGGTAGGACAGCATGCAATGCCCGTGCGGGGACTAAAGTGTTTACCCTTTGATTGTCATTAGGTCAAGCTGCAACAAAACAACCTTTGATGTCCGATGCAAGGACATGAACACGAACATCCAACCAAGGACCCTGTTTGCGCTAGGGCCCAGAGAGCGCAAAACGATCATGGGGCTACAAAGCGGAACGCCTATCCGTGGAAGCGGGGAGAAGAAGCAAGGCATATCAATGAAGCAAGCGTCCTTCAGGTTACACTTCGGTTAGTTGCAGGGTTCGTTACAAGAGGGGGCACGGAGCGGAGGCTTAGCTAGCACTAAAACAGTCTATCTACACAAGTATGCAGGATATGGCGATCGCGTTTCAGCTGGCAGGCTTACAGGGTAAAGCTGAGGCAACTCCGCTGAAGGCCGTGCACCTTCGCCTTGCTCTCCAGAGCGAACAATGCATGGGACAGCCTATCACCTAAGAACACCAGGCAAGTAATTGCATGAGTCCATTATCCAATTATAGGACCCTAGTAGGAAAAAACGGTTGATTGAGGTGAAGCTCTACCTGGTTTTACCTCTCGTACAACGTTATACGACACTGTTTTTCCACACAATCCCGACTGTGAGATTAATCGTTATGCCGTTTCTAAAGTTGTGATGTGATCGGGGCAGCTAACTTGAGTTATGGGGAAGATTGAGTCCCCCGAGTCCGGGGCGCCCGCTCTCACCGAGCGTGGCGCCCGTGACTTGCTCAACCACATCATGGAATACTTGCAGTACCTACAGTATCACCAGACCGTGCAAACTTTACTTTCGGAGCGAGCTACTAAGCGCTCGCAACTGAACAACTCGCTTATTAGTGCAAGGACACAGAGTAAAGATACTCGAGAACGTCTTCGATCAGAAATGGTAAAGCACAACATAATGACGCTTAGCTCGAACGTTAGACGGTAAGGCCCTACATTTCGCATTTCGCTCACAGATGCGTAAATTTGACGAGGGCCGTCGGGATGACTTCTTCACGCTGTGGCAGCAGTATGTCCCGGCATCCATGCTTGGGCTGGACTTCGCTACTCAGAAGGTGAACTAGCTCACCAATCTCCCAACAGCGCTCTGGAAAACCCGCGGCCCGTAACACCTTGAGCACAGGGCGCCTCTCCCGGACAAGCGTCCACTTGATGCCTAACACTTCATCCTCAATAACCCATATCCACAACACAAAAACACCCCACCCTCGCGAGTTTCCTTTTACTTTCCTAGGTTCGCAGTTTCATTAACGCAAAAAACCTGCCCCAACCCCATTCCTGCAGATGGAGTTCTACCTTCAGGTACGAGCTCTATAAAACACCGCAGCTCTGGCAAACTGGGCTGACCGGCGTGCGAGACGGGGGAACAAACGATAGAGGGGTAGACGCCCACGAAGCTGGCGGGGGATGGCCATCGTGCTTGGAACTTTGATGCTCGCATTCGCAGCGGTCCATGTGTCTTAATTCCTGCTTATGAATCTACATGTCCCGTCCGGTCTGCAGCTCCTGCTTTACTTCTGGGTCCCCCCGTTTCCCTCCTTCCTCCCAAGCCACCCTTGCCGCACCCATTTGGGTCTTGCTGGGACTGGCACATTCCATAGCCTTAACTCCCTTCCTCCCTCCCTCCACCTAAACGTTGCCTCCTCCCCTTCCCTCCACACACACACTTTCCCCTTCCTCCCAACCTCCCTTTCCTCACCCCTACATATTCACTTTGCCCTCCTTACCTCTGTCCATCCAGGTCTATTTCGCCATCTACCCGGTCCTGCCGTCCTCCAGTGTCTTGGTGGTCACTCCCGGGGCCCCGGCCCCTCCCCCCGGCTGCCGCCACTCCCCTCATAACACCTCATCACGGCATGAACTGGCGCTGAGGATGAAGGTAGGTACGGGGTAGGGAAAAGGCAAAACAACCAAACATGAGCCGCACGCAAGGGGGAGGAAGGCCGGGAACAACACCCACTTGACCATTAATGAATACACATCAGAGGGGATCCGCTGAACCGGCTGATAGATATGGGAGCTGGTGTGATGGGAGGGGGACGGGACCGGGACCCACCACACGCCCCCACTAACTCGTCCTTCTGTAACCCCAGGCTTTCAAGTCCTACTTGGAGGGTCGCGGGGCTGCCCTCGCCCTGACTGCGGAGTTCCTGCCGTACTACGCACTGCCCTTTGTACAACAGGTGTGATCCTATGCTGCTGGGCTGGGAAGGGGAATTCTAGGGCTGAATGCGGCCGATGGGCCGATGGGCCAGGTGGGTGGGTGTTTGCCGTTTGTTGTTGGTGGTCATGGTGATGATGGGGGGAGTAAGAATAGCTTCGAATACTCATATTGCCGCATGTGACGCGTCCTATGGGTACGTGCTCTCACAACTGTCCCCCAGCTTCCTTTCCGTACACCGAGCCCCCTCCCCTGATGCCTTCCCATCTTCCACTCTCTCTTCTCTCTCCCTCTCCCTCTCCCTCTCCCTCTCCCTCTCCCTCTCCCTCTCCCTCTCCCTCTCCCTCTCCCTCTCCCTCTCCCTTCTCTCCCAGCCCGAGCACCACCCCTCCTTCGAGGCCCTGTTCCAGTCCCGCTGGGTGGACGAGGAGCGACTACAGCTGAAGAACTTCCTAGAGGGCCTTACGGCGAGGTCCGGTGTACCGCAGCTGTACATCATGTACTGCGAGCACCTGGCGACAACAGGTGTGCACATGATTGTGCGTTTGCGTCGTTGTACTCATACACCTCCTGTGCGATTACCCCCCTTGCTTGGGGTCAAGGGTTAAAGGGTTTAGGAAATTGTTGCCTCGTGTTAATGTCCGCCTGTACGTTCCGTTATACCTCCATCCTCCCCTGCACGTGAACATCATGAACTCGTGATACCGGTAAGCCAGATCCTCCAATGCCGCAATCCCTATGCCCTTAATGCTTGTATGTGCACCCACACCTCTGTGCTAATTAACTCGTAGACGGAGTTCCCCGCCTGTCACCACGGGGTAAGGCCCTCCGAGCATCCAGCCGAGCCCACCCTAAATCCAGGGAGGCCTCCCGAGGCAGCGTCGGCAGCGGAGCACTGCCGCCACCGTCACACAACCACGTGCAAAACCAGCCGCCGTACCCGCACCAGCATGCACCAGGCGGCATCCGCGGGTCCGGCGGAGTTGTTGACGGCGGCAGCAGCAGCATCTTGCAGCAGCAACACCTGCAGTACCTGGGCCGCCGCGGCGCCCTCCCCGCTCCGCTGCCGCGGGGCTCCTTTCGCCGCGTGTCGGGATCCGGTTCCGGAGTTAGTTCGGGGCCCAGCTCGGCGGCGGCGTCGTTATCGGGACCGTTGGATCGACGCTCTGGGCTGGCAGCGGCGCCACTACAAGCGGCGCCGCCGCACGGTCTTGGTGGCGGAGGGTTCGGCCACCGTGGCGTCAGCGGCGAGCCAGGGGAAGCGGAGGCGGCGCGGAGCTGCCGCCGCCATCCCGGCGGCGATGATGGGAGTTACAGCGACGACGGATTTGTGCAGGACGATGACAGCGATACGGTGTCGGAGGCAACGCTCGGGCAGCAGCGGGAGGGACGTGGCGCCGACGGCAGGGGGGGGCAGGGCGGCGGCGTGCGGGCGGATGAGGTGGAGGAGTTCGATGATGAGCCGGATGAACGGGAGATTGCAGAAGCGCTGCGGTATGCTCGGGATTTGGGGGAAAATGAGGGCGGTTGGTGTTGTATATTTGGTTTGAGGGATAGTAGCCAGTATCACATTCTGGCTTGTGCTCTTTAGTTAGACACCTTCCTCCTCGGTACCATGGCTGCGTATATTAACCCCCTGCTGAGCACACGCTTTGCTTTCTTCCTCGCGTTCTCTGTCACCCCGCACACCCACAGGACTCCAAGCAACGCGGACCTGCCGCCGGGACGCAGCGGCTTCGCAGCCGGCAGCGGCGGCGGTGCCACCGCAGCTGACAATAGCGACGAAGCTGGCGTCGACGGCTCCGCAAACCTATCCCTGGAGCACCAACTGGGCATGGCGGAGGGTGCCATACTCCGGGAAAGCGTACAGCTGCTGGAGAGTACCATAGGGGGGCCCTCTTGGAGGGGCGGGGACGGCGGCGGCGGCGAGTCGATGACGGGGAGCCGGTCGGCGGTTGCGGAGGAACTGCTGGCAGCGGGTGCGCTGGCAGCGGCGGCCGTGGACGGCGACGGCGCCGTCGCCAGGGCGAGCTGTCCGACAGCGCTGGCCCCGCTGGATTACCGTCTTTTCAAACGGGACCTGCAGGCAGGTGGCGATCGGGCAGGGGAAAGAATGCAGCAAAAGCCCCATAAAAAACTTCCGACGTCCACATCACAGCTGCTAGAAGAGGGGAAAGAAACTGTAGTATCATGGAATGGAGGGATGCGTCCGGGGTCCGGGGTCCGGACGACGAGGTTGTTCGGGATTAGGAGACCCTAATGTTGGTAGTTGGGGTTGACGATGGATGATTTTGTTGATGATGAATGATGATGTTTTGGGGGTAGGTCGCAAGGTCATAAATCCGGCCATGTGGATGAGGCCAGGGGAGGTCAGGGGGGTGTGGGCAGTGTGGAGGACTACTAGGAGAGACATGGGACCGGGGAACCGGCCTGAGGTTATGTAGTGTCGTGTCTTCCGAAAGTAAGCGAAAAACGAACGCAAGCCTACACCGAGCCCATAGGCCTCGAGCTCCCCAGCCCAGCCAGTACTCCTTTCTGTACTCTTACGTTGACCTTGGCGGCCTGGCTCCAGGAAGAACACGTGTGTGTGTCGCATTAGTTCGCCCCCCCCCTTGTCCAAACATGCCAACCACCCCAACCTACACCTAGCCACCCCGGAAACCACACATCCTGCCACGCCGTCATGCCGCATCATCTCCCCACTCCCTTCTCCCCTCCAGGGCCGTGATACGCTGCTAGCTGCCCGGCTGCTCCAGGCGCTGCGGTGGCGCCTCACCCGCAGTCGTCCCGGGGCTGAACGCTGGGGCCTCATCGCCTCCTGGATAGAGGTCGACTTGCTGGACTGCCACACACCCCTGGTTCGAAACCCACCGCCACCACTACCTTCCTCAACCTCATCACTATCACCACGTCCAGCTTCAGCAGCGACAGTGCAGCCCCAGGCGCCATTGCAGACAGCAGCCGTGGACGCGGCTGCCGCGGCGGCGGCGCACCATCCATGTTCGTTGCTGACTGTGTTGGCGGGGTCAAGTGACCCGCGGGTCGTTGAGGAAACGGCTCGCCTGGCCAACGCAATTGCATCCGATCGTCTGGGTCGTAATTACTTGATGCTGCAGGGTGGCGGTGCAATAGTGGCGCTCATGGGTATGCTGAGGCGTAACGTGACCGGGGCGGCGGCCCTGGGACCCGGTGATCGTGATGCTGTTGCTGATGCCGATGATGACGGTGCTGGTGGCAGCGGTGCTGGTGGTGGTGTACGTGATGGGCCGACAGCACAGCAGGCCTTGGTGGCGTTACAGAAGCTGAGTTTAAAGCGGTCGGCTCAGAGTCAGATGATTCGTGAGGGCGCCGTGGAGTGGATTGTGGGTTTTCTCCAGGTGGGTGGGTGCGGGGAGTTGAGCATGGGCGGTTGGGAAAATGGTGACATGACCTGGGAAGGGGGGGAGGAGGGAGAGGAGAGGGTCCCGCTTATCCTAGTCCCCCCTTCCTCTCCGTTGCGCACAGGACCTGTCGACCGTATCTCCTGCCTCCGTGGAGTACGGCACCGCGCTGCTGATGAACCTGTGTCTGCGCTCCGCTGGCAAGGTCGCCGCCTCTCGTTGTGCGGGGCCCTTACTGCAGCTGTCTGAGGGTCTGCTCAACTGCGAAAATGACCAGGTAATGAGCGGGCGGGTGGCAGGAGGGGGCGGGTATCGCATGGGGGAAAGCGCATGTGGCGAGCGGGTGTGGGGGTTAGGAAATATGAATTTCCCTCATGGCGTGTGCTGGTTGGTATTAGTGGGGGTTTGGTGGTGGGGGGAGGAGGGAGGCATAGCCTGGGCAAGGTGTCTGGGCTCTGGATAACCTCCTCTCCAACCTGTCCACCACCAGCCGGGTACTTACCTCAATGTGACTGACTTCCCTTTGATACCCCACTTTGATACTCCACCCTCTCGGGACTTCCATTTTCGTGGTTTGCCCTTTTCCCCATTTCCTTCATCCTCGCCCAATGCCACTCCACAAACATTTTCAACGCTCCCGGGGTAATGTGGGTGGTGCCATACCTGGCAGGTACACACCTACATCAACGGCACGCTGTACAGTGTGTTTTCCCGTGGCTCCATTCGTGAGGTGGCGTTGAACCGGGGTACCGCAGAACTGCTGGAGGAGGTGGCTCAGTCGGGAAGACCACCTTTTGCAGTACAGGTACGCAATGGATGCAGTGGTGGCGGTGAAAGGAGATGGGACAGGAGGCGGGTGACGCTGATGGCGCTGATGGATTGTTGTGCCTATGAAGTATGTGTCGCGCAGTTCTACACGACCCTGGGCAAGCGCTTCCGTGTTTGGCATCTTACGGCATCCGTATTCACCCGTACACCACCTCAGCTACCCCCCTCATACGGACCTACGCAAGTGCCGATGTCGTCGCCTCCTAACGCATACACACATACGTACACATGCACCACCTAGCGTTTCTCGCACGCAAAGCTGAACTATAACAAGCCTCCCGCCATACACTGTGGACCACTGATTTACGCTTGTTACCGCTGCTACTGCTCCTGCTGCTGCTACTGCTCCATACACAATTGTGTATGAACCCTTTTTTTTACCCCTATTGCTGCTGCTGCTACTGCTGCCACACCCCCTGTTCGTCCCCTGCAGTGTCAGCACATCCTCCGGCAGCTCTACATGCCGGATGTGTCCGAACCAGAGCTGGACGTCAGCGAGGACGACGCGGAACCAGACGGGGATGTGGATGCGGACGGAGACGGGGAGGGGGAAGAGGGGCGTATGGATGAGGCGTATGCTGACGTGGACATCACACCGGAAAGTCTCACCGGGCAGCCAGGTGGGGCTTACGTGTGCGGCGGGAAGGGCCCCGGCCCGCGGTGGGGTGTTGTGGGTTTGGGGGATGGAAGGAGGGAGTGTGAGAACGCTGGCAGAGGCGTGTCGGCGCATGGGAAGTGCATGTTAAGGTGGCCGTACCGGGGTCTCTGTAATGGCTCAAAATGGTCCTGAGCTCCACGTCCCAAACCCCGTTACCCTCATCCCCTCATCTGGCACGTACCCTAGAACCCGGGCCCCGCAACACCTGTCCTTTCGCCCCACCCCGGAAAGAACGGGCAGTTGCGTCAGGCCTTTGAAGTCCAGCAGTTTGCCGCTTAAGTCGCCAGCAATCATCTCCTTGATTGTTGCGCATAATTCCCACCCCCGTCCCTCAACCCTTTTCAGGTGCGCCCTGTGGTGAGGAGCTGCTGTGTGGCAGTGGCTACCTGGCCAGCTGTGAGGCGGCCCGGGAGCACCTGGGGGCCGTCAGGAGCTCCGTGGCGGCGGCGGCGGCGGCCATGGCGGCGGCGGGACTGTCCTCCCTGCGCGGCAGCGTACTGCTGGGCGCACTGCCGCCGCCGCAGGGAGGGGGTAGTGTCAGTGGCGGCGGTAATGGAAATGAGAATGGTAATATTAATGTTAATGGAGGCCTCGCTGCTGCAGAACCTGGGTTTGGGCGGCAGAGCAGGAGGCTGGG